TTTTTGACTAACATGCAGGACTATATATATATATAAAAATATGTGTATATATATATATATATATATATATACATATATATATATATATATATATATATATATATATATATATATATATATATATGCAGGACTATATATATATATAAAAATATATGTGTATATATATATATATATATATATACATATATATATATATATATATATATATATATATATATATATATATATATATATATATATATATATATATATATATATATATATATATATATATATATATATATATATATATATATATATATATAATTAGTTTATAAAGTCATTTAGTAACTACATACTGTGATAAAATGTTGTATACTATTTTGTCTACATATTTTGATAATTTGTTAGTATAAATATAAAAAATGAAAAAAATTCAATGCTAGTTCTAAAAATCTTAATTTATTCTATTAGAATAATGTTTGTGTGTGCCTACAAATAAATAAGCTGTAAAACATTCAGTCTGAAGAAAAAAATCCTTATATTAAGTTTTATGTTTAATAATATATATAAATATATAAAACAATTTAAGGCTATATTGTTTCGTCCTTTAGAACTCATAATGTTAACTCATAATGTTAAGTTGTTTAAATGATTTATCTTTTGTTGTGTCATATTTTTTAAATTATAATTCCAAAGTGCTTAAACTCTAAAATAGTTGACCAGCATTATGCAAACAGCAACGACACATCCCATAATTTTATTATATCCCAAATATTATGGAACTATATCCAAATTGAAAGCTAATGTTGTCTTTTTTAGTTATTGATATTAAATATAACCAGAGTATAATTCTTGATTATTCCTTTTTTTTAGTGGAGAATAAAATTAATACATTATTTCTAACTGTACAATATAAAAACTGATGTTATGAGAAGAAAAACTTGTAATTTTATCAAAAAAAAAGATGAAGAAAATCAAGTTTTATCAAAAAAAAGACGAAGAAAATCAAGACTACCAGCTTTTTCTTGAAATATAGATACTTTTGTAACAGGGCTTAATTTAATTTTTTATAAGATCCCGGACAAAATGTCCGACCAAAAGTTATTTTGGTCGGACATTGTCCGATCAAATTTTTGAAATAAAATTTAAACAAATAATTTTCACCAATATTTCATATATTCATATTTGTTTTGTTAAAAGGAACACAGGAAAAAGGTTCTTTAAATGCCGAGAGTAAAAAAGTAATGCAGATGGGTTTTTTTAGACTAGCTTCTGGCGTATCTGAGTTTTACGGAACCCAATTATCCAATCAAAACATATGTTATGTTTTCCCAGTTTATTTTATTTTAGGCTAGTGATGTTGTAGTTTTTTTTTTGAATATTCAGAATTTTTATCATCGTAGATCTTTGTATTTTAAATGAAATAGTTTAAATTCAATACAATTTTTTTAGATAGACTTGAAGTTTTATTGATTTTTTTTCTCTCGAAAACCTTATTAGTTTACATTGAATTGCATTACCGGTTTATAAAAGTTATGTAAATTTTTTTACTTAAAAAAATATAATATGCTAAGTGTCAATTTTGCACATAAGCTTAACTTTTAGCACCAAAAAGGTATTTATATGGCGTTCATGTAACTATTTTTATCAATAATAAAAACGGCAAGAAAACAAGTTTGTTATAGTAATATAGTATAACAATGTCTTTAATATATTAAATAGTAAGATAAACATATTATTTTTAAACTTGATATAAAAAATTTAAACTTCGCTTTTACTTATTTAAAGGCGGTTAAATCAAACGCAATATAATATTTATGGGCTATTATTTAATTTAAAAATTCCACGCACTGCATGTCATTAAAATTCGATCAATTCAACGAAGAAAATTTTATGAGTTCTACAGGTTATTATTTATCTACTTATCAAAAAGGCACTCTTTCTTTGGCAGACAAGTTTTATAAAGCTAGAACTTTTTAATCTTTTATATATATATATATATATATATATATATATATATATATATATATATATATATATATATATATATATAAAATAAATAATAAGAAAAAAAATACAAATAAAGATATAGTTTAAAAAACGAATAATAAATAAAGAATCGGAAAACTCGAGTAGGACCAGAATGCCACTGAGAAACCGCTCAAGCTAAAATAGAATGATTTAGATGATTATAACAATAATATTTAAATGTATATTTTCTTAGTGTTTTTTTAAAAATATTCCATCAATGAGATCTCAACCTCTACAAAAACACATTTGTAAAATCTTTTATTATCAAATTTTTCAAACTGCTAGCTTTTCTTTGCTTTTAGGTGTCCACAGCGTTTGCAGTAGTCAATCGAATACTTTGATATATACTTTGACTTTTGCGATCGTTTCAAATAAGCAATAATTTTAAATTTAATAATATAACAATAAAACTGTTAAAGAACAGTCGTTAAAACTACAATTAATAACAGCGCTTTTTTTGAGAATGAATGCCTCAATTATCAACATATTTTATAAGTTTGTCTAATAGTTTACATTAAGTTTAAATTTGTCAATTTCAAATCAACAAATAAAATTTTATTTTAAAGAATTAAAAATCTTACCGGACAAAATTTCCGATGACTTTGTAAATTGATCGGACAATCTGAGGTTTTAGCCGGACAATGTCCGATGTCCGACTGTTAAATTAAGCCCTGTGTAATGAAGAAACATCATTATTAAACTTTTTTTGCCTAGCTTTACAATTTCAATCAACAATTTTATTGTCAATGATGACACTATTCCACAACCTCATCAAACTGATAACCTTTAAATGTTGATATTATTATACAATCTTTTGTTTGAATATGCCCTGACTGTGAGATCTATTAACATGAATATAGATCATAAAAATAAAAAAAAAGGTTTAATTTCTTTGTTGCTATCCAATTGCACTGGAGTTTATGGATTGTGAAGTTCTATATTAGTAAAAAAATTTCAAATAAAATTTCTGATTGATGATTTTTCAATATAAACTTTAACTTAGTAATTGAAATGCTTAAAATTGGAAAAGGATATTACAAAAGGTGTGGTTTTCTGAATTTGAGACACCATTTTCAGAATTAAGACACTCAAAAAAAAGTTTAGTTTTTTAACTTAACGCTTACACTGCGAAAAAACAAATGGTGGCAATATCAACAAGATTTGGTGCCTGCCAACACAGCTAATACAGTAAAAGCAAATTACCGGATTTAAAAATCAATTACCAGATTTTAATTCAATTGAATTGTTTTGGGCTTGGATGGACAAAGAATTAGTAAAGGGGCAAATACAATCAATAAATAGTCTAAAGCAAGAATTAGATACCATTTGGAGAATGGTATCTAAGTTCCAAACAGTAATTTTGTAAGACTGATATAAAAAAGATGTGCTGCTTGCAAAAAAGCTTGTGGGGGATATTTTAAATACTAGCTTAGATGTTATTTTTGTTGCTATAATTTTTTATATATTGCAGTTATTTTATTGATATTTTTTTACAAATATACAAACGTTATTGAATACATATTTTCAAATTGTTCTAAAAAAATTCTCATTCATGGGACTGATCGTATTAACTCTCCCAAGGATAAGGCAGAACTATTTGCAAAGAACTTTTTATTTAATTTAAATCTTGAATCTTATGGCTATTATCTTCTTTCCATTCCAACTAAACAGGTCAACCCATTGTTATACACTCAAATCACTCCATCTTCCTTTGCTAAAGTCGTATCTCAATTAAACTCTGCTATGGGTTGTGGTCCAAACAACATTCCTGTCATAGTCTTAGAAAATTGTTCTCCAGAACTCTCTTTAATTCTCTCTAAACTATTTAATTTTTGACTGAGTCATTTTTTCCTGCCTGCTGGAAAATGGCTAGGGCGGCTCTTGACATATCTAAAGCTTTCAATAAAGTTTGGTCTTTACCATATCACCATGTTATCACTTAAGCTTGCTTCCTTTTTTTTTGAGCTTGTTGAGTTGTTTCCTTCTAACAGCTTTATTTAAGTCATCTTCGAAGGCCATTACTCCTCTTCATTTCCAGTAACTTCTGGGGTTCCTCAAGGTTCTATCCTTGGACTTGTTTTGTTTCTTATCTACATTAATGATCTTAGAACAGGCAGCCGATCTTAGAACAGGCAGCTGATCTCACTTCTGTAACAGATTAGGGCTTGCAGTAGCTTGTGAATTTTAACTCCAACAAAACTCCAACAAAGCTATTCACTGCTACCAACTATTGCAATACTGTCAACATTCCTATTTTAATGAATAGCAACCTTCTCGGTGAGTCTTTTTCTTTATTGAATTATCATTCACTACTGACCTTTCATGGAAACCAAATATACAATCAATTGCTAAAATAGCATCTGCTAAAGTTGCTTCTCTTCATCATACTCACCATTTTTATAGTCCTAATTCCATTCTCTACAAATCTCTTATTCGTCCCTGTATGGTTATCATATTTGGGCTGGTTCTTCTAATGATTCTCTTTCTCTTCCAGACTAGGCCCGAAAATGCATTGTAAACATAGTTGGACATGCTCTTATGTTTTTCTGACTCATACAACCAAAAATTGTTAAATATATATATATATATATATATATATATATATATATATATATATATATATATATATATATATATATATATATATATATATATATATATATATATATATATATATATAGAAAAATCATAATTTTTCATTTACATGAGGCAAAAAGACTTAGATAGTCATTGGTGTATCAGAAAGCATTTTCTATTTTATATTAAAATTTTATATATTTAATAAAAGTATGACATTTATATATTGATACTTTAAATAAAATCATTCATTAAATATGTATTCGTTAATTTTTGTAAAAAAACCAAACCCAATTTCTTAGCTGATTTTTGTAACTGTATATATCAATATAAAATCCTGACTTTATATATCAATATAAACTATCAGTAAAATATCAAAAAGAAGAAAATAAAATAAAATGTAATCCTACTGTTTAATATGTATTCACTTATAAGTTTTGGAACATTTTCATCATCTCTTTCAATTCCTTGTAAAACTGAACAAAAAAAAAAAAAAAAACTATATTTAAAACATTTACTAAACAGTTCATATTACTAATATGGCTTATGCTCATAGTGCATTAATAATAAGTTGATACGGGATGAAATATATTTATTACAACAATTTTTTCTGTATTTATTTCTTCTTTATTTACTTAACCATAAAATGCAAAATTTACAACAGCAGTTTATAAGTTACATAAAAAAGGTTAGATGCCAATCATAGATCTCAAAATGGAGACACAACTGTAACAGTTTATAAGTTAAATAAAAAATAAAAAAACAAAGAAAGAAAAAAAAAATAAAAAGCATAAATAGTGACATATCCAGAAGTTATTTGGGGACAAGGTAAATTACAAAAGTAAAAAAAAAAAAAAAAAAAAAAAAAAAAAAAAACAGAAATTTTAACTTCAGAAAATCTTTAAATAATTGTTTACAATATTCAAAATATAAATGTATTTGGCGATGCTAGGTGGTATGAGTAACCACTCACATGCACACTCAGTACCGAAAACAGTATAAACAGCATCTGATCACACTCAGTACCAAAATCAGTATAAACAGCATCTGATCTTAATATTGGGTGTTCTTATATATATAAATAAGGCGAGATCAAGAGTAGCCTTGATCTTGCCTTATTTTTTTTTATTTATTTTTTTTTTATTTGCATTCACTCCCAACAAGGCTGCAAGCAACCACTATTAAGTTGGGAGTTACTAGGAAAAAAAAGAACAGAGTTATAGAGCAAGGAAACGGTTGACAGAAGACTTGAAAAGTTGAAGGTTGTATGAGTTAGGAAAACATGAAGATGGGAGAGAGTTCCAAAGGATTGAAGTGCGGGGAAAAAAACTAGATGAATAAAAGTTTTTAGAGCATGCAGGGACAGATACAGTAAACGTATGAGACTTAGCTGAATGACGAGTAAAACGAGAATGAATTTTAGTTGATGGAACTAGAGATGATAACTCCTTTGAGCAGTGACCATGATAGTATCTGTAGAAAAGAGAAAGAGACGCAACTTTACGACGATGGGAAAGAGGTTCAAGCTTAGCAGATAGTCCAGGTCCAACAACATTTACAATGCGTTTTTGGACCTTGTCAAGAAGAGAAAGTGAATCGTTAGAAGAACCAGCCCAAATATGACAACAGTATTCCATACAGGGACGAATAAGAGATTTGTAGAGGTAGAGAATGGAATCAGAAGTAAGGAAATGGCGAGCACGATAAAGAGAAGCAACCTTAGCAGAAGCTAATTTAGCAATCGATTGTATATATGGTTTCCATGAAAGGTCAGTAGTAAGCGATAATCCAAGAAGACGTAAAGAGGACGACTCAGTAAGAGGATTGCCATTCATTAATATAGGAATGTTGACCATATTACGGTAGTTGTTTGCAGTAAGCAATTGGGTTTTTTTAGAGTTGAAATTCACAAGCCACTGTGAACCCCAATCTATTACTGAAGTGAGATCAGATTCAAGATCAGCTGCTTGTTCTAGGCGATCGAAAAGAGAAGACTTTTTGTCAAGACAGGAGTATAAAGTTGAGTCATCAGCAAAAAGAGCTACTTTAGATGAAAGGTTGTCAGGAAGATCGTTTATGTAGATAAGAAACAAAACAGGCCCAGGATGGAACCTTGGGGAACCCCAGAAGTTACTGGAAATAAAGAAGAGTGTTGGCCTTCTAGGATGACTTTAATAAACCGGTTAGAAAGAAATGATTTGATAATCTCAAAAACTTTCCCAGAAACACCATATGAAGCAAGCTTATGGAGAAGACCAGCATGCCAAACTTTGTCCAAAGCTTTAGATATGTCGAGAGCAATAGCCCTAGCCTCACCACCTCCATCTAATGCACGATAAAATCTTTAAGTTACAGCAGTTAGCAAGTCAGCCGAAGAGCGAGAGGATCGAAAACCGTATTGATTGTCTGACAGTAGTTTATTTGACTCAAGATGAGATGTGAGGAATTTGTTGATCAAAGACTCAAAGACCTTGCTAATAACAGAAAGAAGACTGATCGGACGATAATTGGAGGGGTCAGAATTTTCTCCAGAGTTTTTGAATATTGGAACCACAGATGCCATTTTCCAACAAGCAGGAAAACAAGACTCAGTCAAACACTTGTTAAATAGTTTAGAGAGAATTGAAGAAAGTTCTGGAGAACAATTCTGCAAGACTGTGACAGGAATGTTGTCTGGACCACAAGCTGTGGACAAGTTTAATTGAGATATGACTTTAGCAACAGAAGCCGGAGTGATTTGAATGTCTAACAATGGGTCAACCTGTTTGACTGGAATGGAAGGAAGAGAATGTCCATAAGATTCAAGAGTGGAATTAGAAGAAAAGTTCTTTGCAAACAGTTCTGCCTTTTCCCTGGGAGAGGTAACAAGATCAGTCCCATGAATGAGAGATGGAATGTTAGATCTACCCTTGTTAACAATGCTGTTGAAGATTTTCCAAAAGTCTTTAGAGCCTAACTTCTGCGATAAGATGCGAGATTTAGTGTACTGAGAATAATGGAGTTTAGCATCAGAAAGCACCTTTTTACATCGATTTCTTGCAATAATAAATAGCCGTTTGTTCTCAAGAGAGTTGTTCTTTTGAAAAAGATGAAAAAAATGATAACGATTGGATATAGCAGCCGCACAAGAAGGAGAAAACCATGGAGTAGAATGAGGCTTGACTTGAAACCGACGAGAAGGAATAAAAGCTTCCATTCCAGCCTGAATCCAGGAGGTTACGTAGGAGGCGCATTTGTCAGCTGAGAGAGAAAAAACATCAGCCCAAGGACCATCACGAAGAAAATCACGAAAGGAATCCCAGTCAGCTTTAGGGTAGTAGTAGGTGGTGCGATGATAAGGTGAGCCCAAAAAAGAAGTACAAGAAGAAAGATTTATAGAGATCATTGCATGGTCAGAACCACCTAAGGGAGAAAAGGGAGAAACTGAACATAAGCTAGGGTCAGAGACAAGACATAAGTCAAGGAGTTTAAGTTTGACTTTTTTTATTTCAAGGTTAACTAAAATTTATCTTTAATCAGGTAGAAAATGGTTTAAATTATCTTGAACTGCATTAAACAATGGTGGCTCAATAATACTTTACCCAACAATTACAGCAGGTTTTGCATGGCCATAAAATTGGGAAAGTTTATTTTCTAATAAAATTTTTCTTCAATATTAGAGGAAAATATTTTTCTTGATTTTTACTAATTGTGTTAAATGCATCAAATGCTATAAATACATCATCTTTAATTTGCATCCTTTTAATAGTTTTATCTCTAGAAAAACAATTATAATTGCTTGTGGTGCAACCCGATTGTTGCCCAAATTATTTCTTTTCAATCAGCACAGGAGTTCTTCTTTGTTAATCAGCATGAGAGTTCTAGACACTCTTTAGAAATAATACACTACCCCAATCATTATATTAGTTCGATCAAAACCACGGAAGCACAATTGATGGATATTGATCAATTTAGATATTAAAACTATTTTTTCTTTTTCATATAAGGTTTGTGCATCTTTGTTTCCAATGACATGGACTAAATCAAGAAATACTTCTTCAATAGTATGAGAATCAGACTTACCTAATAATAATATAATAACATAATAAAATATATAATAATATAATAACAGAAAAGACTGTGCTATCTGACATGTCGCTGGTCTCATCAAGAACACTAAAGTTATAGGCCAAAACAATTTTTGAACAAACCTCCTTGCTTAATTTATCACTTATTATTTTGAAGAACTACTCAACAATAGTCACTGAAGTGTATGTGGCTCCTTTGCTATAAATTGAATGTGTGAATCTATCCCCTTATCACCAAGGTCTCAAACAAATTTAAGAATATCACTTTTTATGACTTGTATTTGTTTGACCTGTTGGCATTTTTTGCAAAGTTCTAGTGTCTTTTTAAATTTTGATAAATCGTAAATTTCCTATGTAGATGTTCCAAAAAATTGTCACTTTTTTTTCCCAATACTTCCCTAATATCCCCATATTCTTTACAAATACTACATAATCATCGTTGATTTTTTGCAAAAAACAGCAATAAATAATGAAACTATTTATTTGCTTTATTTATTATAGAAATTTATTATAGTTTTCCATTTTTACTAAGATTAGTGATCATGTACATAAGTTCATTTGACACATCATGTACATAAGTTCATTTGACACATCATGTACATAAGTTTATTTGATACATCATGAACATAAGTTCATTTGATACATCATATACATAAGTTCATTATTTGATCTTATTTTAGGAGTTAACAGCTGATCAACCTATTTATGAATTTACTCAGATTAAGTAAAAATGCTTCAACAATTGATAAAATTTTTTATTGTTATTTTTAACTTGCAATGATATGTAAATTTTGTTACGGTTTCTACCAGAACTCTTTGGGCAATCATATTACATAATTAAAATTATTATATTAACTTATGCAATAATAAAATTATAGCATAGCAAGGTCATCAGTACATTCAAAAATTAATGACTTTTTTTTCAAACTGTTTATTTACTAAAGTTATACAGCCCAATTGTTTTAAAAAGTTTAAGTTTTAATAAACTTTTATCTATTTATTCTATTACTCAACATCTTTATAAATGAAAAACTTTAAAGCTTATTAGTTTTTGCATTCTAAATTGTAGCTATGGTAATCACATGAGAAAGAAATTGTAGCTATGGTAATCACATGAGAAAGAAATTGTAGCTATGGTAATCACATGAGAAAGAAACTGTGGCTATGGTAATCGCATGAGAAAGAAATTTTAGCGCATGAGAAAGAAATTGTAGCTATGGTAATCGCATGAGAAAGAAATTGTAGCTATGGTAATCACATTAGAAAGAAATTGTGGCTATGGTAATTGCATGAGAAAGAAATTGTAGCTATGGTAATCGCATGAAAAAGAAATTGTAGCTATGATAAACACATGAAAAAAAGAGAACCATACATTAATTGTATTTAAAAAAAGTTTTTACAGCATTCAAAGCGCTTTTTAGATGCATTATGCAAGTGTTTTATATATCCAATTGTAACATATCAAGTATCTGTGTGAATATTTTGACTTATAAAATAGATTTTACCAATTAATATTATATCTATTTTAAAAGTTGCATTTGTTGTTATTTTAAAACAATTAACAATAAAATTTATAATAAAATTAATTTATAGGTGATGAAATTATAAAATGTAGCAAGACAATAACTAACATAAAGTTGTTATAAGCTGAGTTTGGAATGAAGTTCAGTAGTAAAGGATAATCAGAAAAAGCACAAAGCTCGGTAAGAATGTTGCCATTCACTAATGTTAACAATATTGTGATAATAATTATCAATAAACAACAGAGTTTTACTTGATTTAAAATTAACCATCCAGATAAGCCTAAAGTTGTCAAAGAGAAGAGATCGAAATCAATATCAGCTGCTAAATAATAGAGGAGAGATCACAACCAATATCAGCTGCTGATTGATAGAGAGAACGTAATCAATATCAACTGCTGATTGATAGAGGAGAGATCACAATCAATATTAACTGCTGATTCTAAGCAATCAAAAAATAATTTTTTATCATAACAAGATGATATATAATTATGTCATTGACAAACAGAAATATTTTAAAAGTGGGATTGTCTAACAAAAAGAAACACTTTGAAAGTGGGATGGATTAAAGGATTGTCTGAAGGATCATTAATATAGCCGAAAAACAACATGGATTCAAGTATGAAACCTTATGGTACCACAGAGGTTAAAAATAAAGAAAATTGTTGGCCATCAATGACATTATTAAAACTGAAAATAAGATTCAATAACTTAGAAAACCTTTTAGATAAATGATACAATCTAGTGCTTATATAACTAAATGAATTCTACTAATTTGTTTCATATATATATATATATATATATATATATATATATATATATATATATATATATATATATATATATATATATATATATATATATATATATATAAACAATAAACAATGCTGAATGAGAAGAGGTAAAAAAGGAAATCAAGAGAGAAAAAGCACAAGTGACCACATCTTTTAAACAAAACCAATTTAATGTATCCTCAAAGCAGTTGTATGCATAAGTCAAAAAATTTGATATTAGTTTTTTCATACAAAAACCAAGATAACTCATCTGGTGCAGGGTAACTGTCTAAAAAACTACTTGATAAAAAATTAGAAAATAAGAGAAAAGATTGAAATGTTTTAGAAAAAAAGTTTAAGAGAAAAGATTGAAAGATTTAAAAAAAAAACAAAAAAATAGAATTTAAAAAGTAAGAACTTTTTAATAATTAGAAAACTTTTATTTTAATAGTTTTTTTTTTTTAAATTAGATAACTTTTGTTTTAATAGTTTTTTTTTTTGTTTTTTTTAATTAGATAACTTTTATTTTAATAGTTTTTTTTTTTTTAAATTAGTAAACTGAATTATGCTAGTTATCTCAGGTTGCACTTCTCTCAGAAAAAAATATCTTTCAAAACACACTTAAAAACTTTAAATAATTCTTTTAGCTGAAAGAATTTGAAAAACTTTATTTTTTTAATCATTAACTCATAACAAAAAATTTCAGACATCAAAAACAAAGGGAAAAAAATCTTCTGAAAATAGTAATAAAATGAATTTCAGTCTGACAGCTCTCGAAAAATGATAAAAAGTTCAAAGTTCAAATAAAGATACAATTTAACAATATAGCTATTTTTTCAGATATATTTATATATAAATCTTTTTTATACAATTAATTTTTCAACAGATTAAAGATTAAACATTTTTGAAAACAATGCTAACATGTATCAGATTGCATAGATCTAACATATAAATAGAAACCATTATTATCCAAAACGCTTTTTACAAAGTCAGAACAAACTACAGAATATTGTATTTTCTACTTAAGTAATGAAATACCAAGTTTTATTTTTCATCATTCCTCTATCATACCTGCTGGTATCTACTTTTTTACTGAATCTTATTATGCAAGGTTAAAATTTAGTAAATACGTTTTATTTAAGGTACTAAACCTTAATAAAAAGATTATATACCTGGTATATAATCAAGATATGTTTTAAAACTTTAACCTTTAAGAAAAACTTCTATTTTTGGAACAACCTAATATAAACACAATAAATGATAAATATTGACTACAAATTACCTTTGGTCATTAGAAGTAAGCTCGAAGATGTAGGCCCTCCTTCGTTTTTTAAATAAGGAATTGAAATATCGCCATTCTAATAAATACACATGTTAAAAATTATTTAATAATAAATAATAAAAGATAAATTACTAAATTCAAAAATAAAAAGAGATTGATTTATTGTTACACAATTAATCATTCTTTTACTATTTCATATAAAATAACATATATGGTTTCGGCAAGTAACATATATGGTTTCGGCAAGCAACATTTTTGGTTTCTGCAAGTAACATATTAAAATAATAAATCTCATGAGTAAAGTCATCTAAAGAGAAACTGATTTTCTCTCTATGAGTGAGTCACCTAGAGAAAAAAATTAATTTTTTTTCTATGAAGTTTCATCCTTAGCCTTGTTTTGTTCTTTATCTATATTATCTTGCTGATAATCTTGCCTCTAAAGTGACTTGATTTGCTGATTGGTTAAAGTGAATCTTTTTGCCGATTGGTTCAAATGACTCTATTTGCTGATTGGTTAAAGTGACTCTATTTGCTGATTATTTAGAACAGATCTTTAATATTAAAATATGAATTTTAACCCATGCGAAAGCTAATTGCTTACTGTTAATAATAATATTAATTGCAATTTTGTTAATATATCTTTACATCTTTTCTACTAATAAACTATCTATTCTCAGCTCATGCACTCGTTTACTCCGAGGCCTGTATACCTGACATCTATACACCTTGACACTACATAACTGATACCTTAAAACTATACCTGACGTTAATACACTCTGACACTAAATATATTTGTTATTGAACTCAGTATACAGAACAATGTACAATTGATACTACAGAACACATATATAATTGATTGTTGCCTTGATTATTCATGTTTGCTTTTTTCTTGACTCCCTTCTTTACTTCATAAACCTTTTATTTAAATTAGATTAAAGTACTTGTAATTAAAGTAATCCTGTTATCTTATTTTTCTTTTTCTGATGAGGCCCTCTCTCTTACAGACAAGGTGCAAAAACTCATAGTTTAGCCTTTGTTCCATGGTTGCTGCCTTTTACAGTAACTGAAACATATTTTATAGTCTTGCTTTAGTTAACTAGAGACTCAAATTTTAGTTGAAAGAGAATAATGATAATGTAATTAAGTGTTCTCTCACTATGTACATGAAAAAATAAAGCGTGTTTCAGTTACACATGAAAATAAATAAAACAAAGCTTATCAAACTATGAATAAGAGAGACACTAACTACAACAATAATACTTTAACAGACAATATACAACATATAGATATATACAACATATAGATATATACAACATATAGATATATACAACATATAGATACATACAACATATAGATATATACAACATATAGATATAGTACATTTTTATTTCTGTGCGTGCTTTTTTATTTTTCTTTGTTTTAACAATTAGAAGCTGGGACTTAAAGCAATATGCATACATTATGATTTTCATAAAATACAATTATAAAAAAAATGTTTTGATCGTATTTTAGGCTACCTGAATAAGTTAAATATATATATTTTTAACATTTTTTTTTTTTTTTTTGTGTGTTAATGTTGCAAAAGTTTGAAAAATATACAATAATTTTTAAAACTACTCTAGCTAGAAATATTTGATAACTGTTGTTTCTTGTCGAAAATGTATTAAATATGAGTTGTATATATATATTTCACTTGAAATATTCACAAGCACTTTATTTTCATAAAAAAAACTACATGAAACCGACAAATTCACAACATCCATGTGTGATCATTAGGCAGGTCCATTTTTAGGGGTTGAAAAAACTACAACTTTGCCAATTTATTTTCCCATTCTATGTTGTCATAAAAGACTTTTCCTTAAAAAATTTTTGAAAAATTTTAAATTCTCTGTCCTCCCTAGGAGTTTCAATATTTCATATTTATTAAATTTTTAGAGAATTTTTTTTTTTTTTAGTTTGCACTGCCGGCCCTATGCGGAGTTATAATCACAGCACGCAATAATAAATTTTATGAAACTGCGCTGCGTTTGTAACTTTTTAAATTTAAAATGGCAATATCAACGTGTTCATTTACTGAAATATTTTTATTAGGAAAAACCCATGAAATTGGTTGCAAAACTTTGCCTACAAAAGGCAACATTTTAAGATATTTTATCACTGCTGCAGATTACTGAATTTCAAAAAATAAAAATAAAAAACACACCGAAATTATTTCCTGCCCTCTAGATATAAATCACGAGCTACTATGTAATGATAAAATATGTCAGCCCAAATGTGTTGTTTCTGCTCTTAGAAAACCGTGGCTTATGGGTGGTATACCACACATAAGTTGCAGAAGTATTAGGTAACTATTGATTTAAATAATGTTTATAGTTTATTACGTAATTATTGATAATTATTGATATAAAAATTTAAGCTGACAAATGACAAATGAAAATTTATTAAATTATTTCAGGGAAAATGTTTCCAAATTAATATATCATCACAAGAAACTAGTATCATATTGTTCAAAAAAAACGGAAACACAAAAGCTGCATGAAAATAATTTTTTGGCATTAGAAAAAGAATTGTTTGACATAGGGCACCCTAAACTTTATGAAATAATTAAAAAAGAATTCGATCAAAAGATGCAAAAGAATGCGATATTTTATTTTATGAAGATCAAAAAACTGCAAGAACAATGATAATTGACAAAATAGACAAAAATATCAAAAAATTTATTCCATCAAAGAGTTTCGCAAAAGGAAAGGAGTTAGAGCAAAAAGAGGAATCTGCCACAAAAATCTCAAAGTTAAAACAATTTTCATCAAATAGTAATTGTATTAATGAAAATCAAGATTTATTTTTGTTAGAAAATTTTGATAATGAAGAATTTCAATATAATAATTATGATGAAATTGAAAAACAATCAACTAACATAAAACAAAATAAAGTGACAGTAACAGTAGATATTGATGAGCTTATTAAAAAAACTTCAATATTTTGTGGGCGTTTTGGAATTTCTGTTGGAGTACAGACAGGATTATTAGCATTATTTTTAAGATGTGGAAATATCAACCTTAATGAAGTAAAACTTTCAAAGACAAAAGTAGAAAAAATAAGAAAAGATTTGTATGTAAGTGAATCAGAGTTAATTAAGGAAAAAATAAAAGAAAAATGTAAAAATGGGATTTAAATACAAATGGAAAACAACAGGATGAGCTGCTAGGCATAGTTGAATGTCAATCGGGGAAAGGATAAGATCAAGCATTGGCATGTTTTAATGTTATAAAAAAGTTTGGAATTAAAAGCATTATAATTGGGATTTGTGCTGACACAACAGCATGTAACACTGGTTGTAATAAGGGTTGTATAAGTACTTTAGAAGAACTTTTAAATCGACCTCTGTTCTTTGTAGAAAACATTCCCAAGAAAGACATATTTTACATGCAATAAATGCAATCACTAAAACAGAAAGCAAAGGTCCATCAAAATCTATTTATACAAGATTCAAAGCTACTTGGCCAATGCATTATGAAAATGTTCAAAATAATATGGATCAGTTATCAAAGTTTCCGTGGTGCAAAGTTAGTGGAACCCCATTAGAAGATATGGCTAAAAAAAGTTTATCTTTTTGCAAAAAAGCTTTGGAACTTAATACTTTTCCTAGAAATGATTATAAACATCTGTGTCAATATGTCATTGTTTTTCTGGAAGGGAGGCAGTTCCTGAATTTATTATACACAAACCAGCTGCTGAACATGAAGCTAGATTTATGGCAGACGCTTTTTACATTTTGGCAATGAAGCTTACTCAACCAATCATAAAGTTTTTAACCCTAGAGAAAGAAATAGTATTTTCAAAGGCTGCAATATATGTAGCTTCAGTTCATACAAAAAACTTTCTTCAATCAAGTCAAATTGTTTCTGCTGCTCATAATGATTTGTATACAGTTAAAGAGATGATTAAAATGAAAGATTTTGATGCTGATGTTTCTCAAGCTTTTATTTCAAGCTATCTTAGACACAGTTATTATCTTTCTGAAGAAACGGTTGTCTTTTGTTTATTTGATAAAAGTCTTGACAACAAATTTAAAGGAAAAGTTGCTCAGCAGTTGTTAAAAACAAATTTACCTGAAATCTTTAAACTTAAAAAGTTTAAGCCTGTAGAAATAAATGAACATTCAGAACTTAATGATTACACTGGTCGAAATTCTTGGCTAATTTTTAAAATAGTTCCTTACTTACCAAAGTGGTTAGAAAGTCCACCTGATTTGTGGATTTATGATTCTGATTATAAAAATATGCAAAGGTTTATAAAAAGATTAGTCTGTGTCAATGACTGTTGCAAAAGAGCTATTAAATTGGTAAAAGACTTTATCGATTCAACAATTAAAGAGGACAAGATATTTTACTGGTTTTAAAGGAACACAGAGTTAATTTTCCATTTTATAAATGTAACTGGTCCAAAGAAATACTTAATAAATTGTAAGAAAAGTTTAACTTTTTATAAGAAAAATTCAACTGAATTTTTTATGTATATTATTTACAAAACGTATTTGTAAAACCTTTAGTCAAAGTCTCATACATTTTTAACAACTTTTATTTTTTATCTTTATTAAGTACAATATTTGGATTCCTTATTAAACAAACTTTTAGAATGCAAGTTTTATCAAGTTTTTTAATCAATATTTAAGAGTATTTAGATAAATGTACAATTAAAAACATAGTAAAAACCAGGTCTTTAAAAGAAACCGGGTAATATTTCAAAATGTGTTATCTCGAGAAATTTAGTACCAACCTTCCTAATAGTAGACCCAGCTCACTCAAAAAAAATTTATAAGTTTGGTTGGTCCTTGATCCAATTAAAAAAGCAATTTAATTGGATCAAGGACCAACCAACAATTTAAAGGAAAATTGAAATATTTTAAATTTTTTTTTTGGAATTGTCTTGTATATCAACGTAGAATGGGAAAGTAAAGTGGCAAAGTTATAGTTTTTCTGACCCCTAAAAACGGTCCTGCCTAGTGATCATTCATGAAATGCATTTAAATGAATGCTGTGACTTGATGATACATATTGCAATCCTGAAACTTTTAAGAAATTATTACTAATATCTAAAATATTATTTAAAAAAATAATATTTTAGATATAACTATACTGCTAAAAATTTTCAAAGGAATTAAAGCTTATTTATCTAGTAACTAAAATTTGCATTTTTCTGTACTGTGTGTGATTCCGCTTCAAACTTAATTTTTTGTTTTACTATACATTAATCTATATAAATATTTTGTAAACAAAAAATGGTATACATTACTAATGTATACCATATTTTTTTATTTAAAATTTATATTTGAAGTTTCATTTATTTTATTTAGTAAATAATAACAATAACTAAAATAAAACCTTATTTTGTTCATCTGCATACTTGATAAATACAAATCGATTTTTTTTCTTTCTTGATTTGTTAATTTCAGCTATCTTTCTTTCTACATTCATATATGTAGCAATAAAAGTATTTTGTAGTTCGTTATGTCTTGAAAGTTGTTCTCTAATAGTTAATTCTTGTAGCAATATTTCTGAATTGATTTTTACTTGAGATGTTAGTGATTCAATTAACGAATGAAGATCATCAAACGATTTCAACTCTAACTCTAAATATAAATACTGAGCTCAATATCAAAAGTACACAAAACCCACAAAACACTGAGTTCAATATCAAATTTACATAAAACCCACAGAATACTGAGCTCAAAATAAAATGTACACAAAATCCACAAAATACTGAGTTCAATAACAAATGTATGTAGTGTCAGAGTGTATCGATGTCAGGTATGGTTTTAAGATATCAGTTATGTTGTGTCAAGGTGTATAGATGTCAGGTATACAGGCCTCGGTGGAAGTAAATAAGTGCAAGAGCTGAGAAGAGCTCTCCTAAAACGAACATGGTGAGCCATGCAAGCTGCTCCTCTGTTTATTACAAGAGCTTTTGGTTTTTGCGAGCTATCTGTTTATTCATTTAAAAAATTGCTTATTAAATACAAAATTTTGGTTTTATACTTGTTACAAGCCCAGGGTGTGACAAATTGTTTTTTTTTTAACGAATGTTGATGTTCGTACCTTTATTTAATGACGAGGATCTAATCTAAGTTAAATTTAAGATATATATCATATAAGACAGTTTTATTTTCAAATAATTTTAATTCTAGTTAATAAGTTATTAGATATATCAAAGATGCTTTTAGAATTTAATTAATTTTTATTTCTTTGAAACAATTTTTTTACGTGTTTGCAAAGTGCAACCAAATTAATGTTAATTACTATGCAATGAACAAATGATTGTAAATGGTTATCCATTGATACTAAATAATGAATTATTTTCAAGTTAGTTCATTAATTTATTTACAAATAAAAAAACATATAAACTTAAAGAAATTAAAAGAAAAAAAACTAAAAATAAAATAAAAGTTATTTTGACAATTTTTTTTTAAACTTTTAAAAATAATATCATATTATTTATTAAATATTTGATATTATTAAAATAGATCAATAATAAATAAGTTCTTGTAATCAAGTATTTGGTAATAAGTTGATAAAAGTCATATAATTGGGGTTGTTAAAATAAAAATGAAAAGTAAACATTATAGTTCTAGTTTATTTATAGAAAAAATTAAAAATTCGTTTTAAGACTTATAAAGTTTTTTTAATATGAAAATAAACATAAATAAACATTTTTAATAAGCAAATAAACATTACTTTTAAAAAAAGAAAATTAAAAAAAAAAAAGCACGTTGTAGAAAAAAACTATTGTTTAATCTTCTTTTAAATTAATTACAAATACATTCATTTTAAGTCTAATCATGAATTGTCATGTCTAATTATGAACTTACAGAAGATGAATTATTAAACTCAGTTTCTTTAAACCTAGTAAAAGTCCGGGTGCTGATGATGTTAGTAGTAATGTCATTATTAAATCAATTAGTTTTATAAAAATACCACTCTTACATATTTTAAATTTATCTTTAAAGCACGGGGTTTTTCCTGAAAACCTAAAATGTGCAAATGTTACACCAATCTATAAACCAGGTAATTCTTCTGATGTCTCAAACTACAGACCAATCTCAATTCTTACCTGCTTTTTCAAGATTTTGGAACGTGTTATGTATAACAGACTTTATTCTTTTTTAACTAATAATAATATTTAACTAATCATGCAATCATTCATCTAATACACAAAATACTCAAAGGTTTTGATTTTTGCAAACAAATTTACATTAGGCGTCTTTATTGATCTAAGTAAGGCTTTTGATATGGTGGATCATAATATTCTCCTGCAAAAAAATTTAAAATTATGGTTTCTTGCTTAGACTCTTCAACAGCTTGTGGTCCTGACAACATTCCTGTTGTAGTTTTGCAGAGGTGTTCTCCGGAGCTTTCATCCATACTTTCTAAACTATTTAACAAGTGCTTATCAGAGTCTTGTTTTCCATCATGCTGGAAAGCAGCATCTGTTATCCCTATTTTCAAAAATTCCGGAGAGCGATCTGATTCATCTAACTACCGTCCCATTAGTCTTCTTCCTGTCATAAGCAAGGTTTTTGAATCTTTAATCAACAAACACTTAATCTCTCATCTTGAATCAAATAACTTACTTTCTGATCATCAATATGGATTTCGGTCTTCTCGTTCTACAGCTGATGTGCTAACAGTAATAACCGATAGGTTTTACCGTGCATTAGATAGAGGTGGAGAGGTTAAGGCTATCGCACTTGACATTTCTAAAGCTTTTGATAAAGTTTGGCATGCTGGTCTTCTCCATAAGCTTTCTTCTTATGGTGTAGCTGGTAACGTCTTTAAGATTATTGAGTCCTTTCTTTCCAATCGTAGTATAAAAGTTGTCCTCGATGGACAACACTCTTCTTCACATCCTGTAACTTCAGGGGTTCCTCAAGGTTCAATCCTTGGCCCTATACTCTTTTTAATTTACATTAACGATCTTCCAGATATTCTCACATCTAAGGTGGCATTATTCGCTGACGACACTACCATTTACTCTTGTCATGATAAGAAGCCTACACTCTCTGATTGCTTGGAGGGGGTATCTGAGCTTGAAAAGGATCTCACTTCTGCTACAGCATGGGGCTCACAGTGGCTGGTGAACTTTAATTCAGATAAAACTCAATTTTATTCGGCCAATCGTTATCGTAATAATTTAGATCTTCCTATATTTATGAATGGTAATGTACTAGATGTGTCATCTACCATTCATCTTCTAGGATTAACTCTTACTTCTGATCTTTCTTTTAAACCGTATATCAAATCCATTGCAAAATTAGCATCTGCTAAGGTTGCATCTCTTTATCGAGCTCGACACTTTCTTACTCCAGATTCTATTCTCTATCTCTATAAATCTCAAATCCGTCCCTGTATGGAATACTGTTGCCACATCTGGGGCGGATCTTCTAATGATGCTCTTTCTCTTTTAGACAAGGTGCAAAAACGAATTGTAAACATAGTTGGACCTGCTCTTGCAGCCAATCTCCAACCTTTGTCACATCGTCGTAATGTTGCTTCCCTTTCTCTTTTCTACAAATATTATAATGGGCACTGCTCTAAAGAGCTAGCGTCCCTTGTGCCATCTACTAAAATTCACTCTCGTGTTACTCGCCATTCAATTAAGTCTCATCCTTTTTCTGTGACTGTTCCTAAGTGCTTCAAAAACTCTTATTCTTCTAGTTTTTTTCCTCGAACATCAGTTCTTTGGAATTCGCTTCCTTCATCTTGCTTTCCTGATTCATATAATTTGCAATCTTTTAAGTCATCAGTCAATCGTTATCTTGCTCTACAGATTTAGTCTTTTCTCTTCCAGTAACTTCCAACTCTTATAGTGGTTGCTTGCAGCCTTGTTGGAAGTGAAGATGTTAAAAAAAAAAAAAAAAAAAAAAAAAAATCTTAAATTATAACTTAGCTTGGTTTAAAGTTATCTAACAAACAGAAATCAATATATCTCGTTTAATGATAGTAAAACCGATTTAGCAACAATTTGAGGGCCCCTTTTGTTCCTTATTTATATAAACGACTTAAATAAATTTTCAAATATCTTAAATTCAATCCTATTTGCAGACGATACCAACTTATTTTATTCTGATAAGGATATTAATTCTTTATTTGAAACAGTAAACAAAGAGCTTGCAAAACTAAGCGAATGGTTTATAGCAAATAAATTATCCATAAACATAAAAAAAATATATATATACTTTCTTCCATTGTCTTCATGAAAAGAGACTTATCCCATTAAATCTTCCAAACTTAGTTGTAAATAACTCTTGTATTGTAAGAGAGCGTTCATTGTTATTTCTTGGTGATGTTATTGATGAAAATGTGAGTTGGAAGGAGCACATAAATATAATTCACAATAAAATTTCGAAAAATATTCGTCTACTTTACAAAGCTAAGCTGCTATTAAATCAAACCTGTTTAAAATACATTTATTTTTCATTTATTCATAGCTACCTAAGTTATGCAAACGTTGCCTGGTGTAGCACTAATGCAACTAAAATAAATAAACTATTAATTAAACAAAAGCATTCTGTAAGAGTTATTGGAAATGTAGATTGTTTCTCACACACTAAACCTCTATTCATTAAATTTAATATTCTCAACGTATTTCAACTAAATCTTTATCAAATTCTTATTTTTATGTTTAAAGTTAATAAAAAAATATCACCTACTTTATTTGACTCATTTTTGGAAAAAATAAATCACCTATACTCAACCTGATTTTTAGAAAACAATTATATTCAAACTAAAACCTATTACTCTGTTACTAAGTTTTCAATTACAAACAGAGGTCCTAAACTATGGAACACGCTATTGAATAATGAGTTAAAAACTATTTCTTCTATTAAACATTTTAAAAACAAACTTAAGCAAAAGCTTTTAATAAATGACAACAAATTAAAATTTTTCTGAATCCTTTGATTAGGAATAATCACATTCGTCTATTTATTTTGATTCTTTATAAATATGGTTTAAATATATATTCTGTATCTACTGTTAGTCAATTTGTACATTATGACCTTTTTTTTTTTTTTTTTTCATTTTATATAATAAACTTTAATAAAAAACATATAAAAAAAAATATATTAAAGACGTATTAAACTACTAAAAATGTTTTTAAAAATGTTTGTTTTTTGTTTTGTTTGTTATTCGTGTATTATTTGTTATTTTATGATCTAAATTCAAAAGGTTTATAAATCTAAAACCAGTTAGAAAAAATGAATTTAATTAATAAAATGTTCTTATATGTTTGGATATATTACATTCTAACATAGCGTAAAATGTATTTTATTTTTACTTAACTTTACATTTTATTTAACGCTATTTTATTTTAACGCAGCGTTTTATTTAATGTTTATTTAACAAGTTACTTAGCTTTGTATTTTTAATATTGACAGTTTTATTTAAAGGGGCTTGGTGATAAGACTAAACTAGTCTTCTTGCCCCAACCATGTATTATATATTGTATTGCACAAACTTGTAAACTTATTTCATTGGCAAAATACATAATAATAAAATAATAAATAATGAGTAAATTTTTGCATACTTTTTTGTTAATGCATGCAAAAACCATGCTAAAATATAATTACTTTCTTTGTACTCAGTTTATTTTTCTTCTTTTGTAGTCAGTTATTTTATTTAAGAGTAACGCTATTTAAGGAAGTAATCATGTTTTAGTATGATTTCTTTTAAAGTCTTTAAAAAATGTTCTAAATTTTAATAACTTATTGTTATTTATTGTAAATGTGTTTTTATAATAAATAAACTATCAATGGTATAATTATTTGGAAAAGAAATTGCTGAAGTTTTTGTTTTTAAAAATTTTAAGCAAATTCAAACATTTGCATATGCAAAAATAAAGAAACATGACGTTTGTTTTTGTCTTTTCTTTTAACAAATGTTTGCACATTCATCGATTTGTTGCGCCCTGCAAGCATATGTTTGTTATGTTAATATTACAAGAATATATACATAACAAATGCCATTTTTTATGCCATGCAGCATAAAAAAATTCTTTTATATAAGCGTTTTTTTTACTGCTTATAAAAAAGGTTTTATATTTTCAAGTAAAAATTCTACAATAAAAAAATTCTACAGTCAATATTAAAATAATTGTAAAAATATTAAAATAAATAGTATATAAAGTGTATAATTCATTACATAAAATAAAAATTGTTTTGCAATAATTTAGTATAATAATTTTATTTTTTATTAGTTAAAGTTATATTTTATCAATATAATTAAAAGTGTAAAATGCGTATATTTATCAGTCCAAACTTATCAAAACATTTACATTTAAATCAGCGCTCTTGTTTAATTTTTTTTTTTTTTTTTTTTTGCAACAACCATGCCTTTTAAAATGCATTAAAGTTTATTATAAAATGAATTTATTTTTAATTTTAAAATGACTGCATTTTTCATTTTAGTTACAATAATAATTATACTTTTTAGAGAAAAAAATTATACTTTTGCAAGAGCCATTAATTGCTCCAGTAAACCATAAATTGCTCCGTTTTAAAGGAGTGTGGGTGAAAACAAGAACTAAAGCTCTTGCTTCCCGCCAAGGCCTGGATATAGTTTTAAGGTATATTATATAGATTGCCAAATATAAAAACTTTATCTTCTTATATGGCACTCTCTGGCTTATAATATGAAAAATTACCATTTGATAATTCTTTAAACTTGTTACTTTCATTAGAAACAGCTGTGGCAAAGCAAACATTTTCTACATTACATATATTATGAGAACTTTCATCCATATTTACTTCTTTATCACAAATTTTATGGTTACGAAAATGCTGAACGTCATTTTCATTGGAATGAAAATCAAAGATTGAATTAAAAACTCCATATTTTTTTAATTTAAGGTCTGTTAACCAAGACACATTTCCATTCTAAAAACAACAAAAATTATAAAAAACACAAAATAATCCTTTAAAAACTTGAAAAAAACTATTAAACACAAGTATACCGGTGATTGCAAGTTAGATAACAAACTTTTTACAGCAACTTTATAATATTGTGTTTCACAAGATTTAACTGGATCATGAAGTTCACAATTTAATGAAATATAAAGTGGGGACTCAATACACCTAAAAATAAGTCAAAAAAATTACTTTATGCAAAAAAGTGCACATTACTTTTTCAATAAAAAAAGTTCTAAAAAATAAGCAGTTAATGATTTTTATTTAAAAAAAAAAGCTATTACACTTCATAAAAATAAATAAAGGATAGGACATAAAAAAAGTCAAAAAATACTATAACAGTCTATTTATGCACACTTCACATGAAAATAAAAATAAAGAAATGAAGTTAATAAAAAAAAAGTTAGAATATAAAAACTCTATCAAGGATTAAAAAGTTTAATCATTAAATTTATTATTTATCCAGTTTTAAAAAAATGATAAAAATAATGTGTTTAATAAAATCTAATGGTTGTTAAACTACTTTTTCATTATACTAATGGTAATTAATATAATGAAATATTAATATAATGGAAAAATAGTTTAACTAACGTGATGATTTTAACTTTTAGGTGACATTAAAATGTCAAAAAAAAAGTTTTTAACTATCCTTTTTTAGGCTGCTGTTTTCAGTGAAGAGAAAATAACTTTTAATGAGTAAGATTCAAACCAATAAAAAATATACTACTTTACTTTTACATTCTCATGTAATTGAAAGAGTTATGTTATACACAATGCAACAATAAAATTTCTATACAATACAATTTCTTGAAGGGACTGACAATGCAAACTTTGTGTGAAACATTGTGGAAACTTAAAAACTCCTGTTATGTTTCATCATTTAATTATTTCTCATATGATTTTTTAAGTAATAACTTAAAAAAAAATGCAGTGTCTCCTGTTTTGCATATTATGTTAAGAATATCATTAAAACTATATAAACTATTGCCAAAGAAATGTTATCTATTTCAATCTAAATCAAAAGGAATGGTATCTAATAAATCAAAAGGAATGGTATCTAATAGTGAAGAATTGAGAAAGAGTAATATGTAGACAACGTGTTGCATATTCTAATACTTTAGATAATGTAGTGCCACCTATTTTGCATATTATGTTAAGAGTTGTGTTAAAACTGAATAACTTATTGTTAAAGGAGTGTAACACTTAAGATTACCAAGCTGATTCTTTTTGTCGCATAACAAGAATGTGAGAACAAATGAATTGTGGGCGGCTAAAATCGTTGAAGGTTCTAAAACAACAGAAGTTTTGCGTTTATTAGGAAATCAATTTGTGGACATTGCAAGTCTACAGCCGCAATGATTTTTAATAAAAAATTTTCTAAATTAGAATGCATATCCCTAAACTCCAATAAAAAAAAAACAATGAACAGCAAGAAATATGTGCTACTTTTAGATGTTTGATTACAAAATATGATTGTAAAACTGATTGGGTGGAGTGTGGTACTTGCCAAAAATGGTTTCATCAATTTTGTGAATTTATTGGTTTTTTGGAAAAGAATGTACTGTGTGACATAGAAAAGTACAATTTTTTAGCATGCTAGGGTGAAGATATAGAATGCCTTGTATATTTCTGAATAAATTTCTTTTAAACGTGCAAAACACAATATTTAGACATTGAGTATATTCGATTGCAGATTTCCTAGGCCTTCACACTCTATTGCATAGGGACTCATGAGAGGTCTCTTAATAAGGCCCTTGAAGAAATGAAGGTTGAGCAAGCTTTACTATGGTAAGTTATTTTTTAGGTAATTTTTGTGGCATCAAATTTAGTTTAAATCTTTTTAAAATCTTTTTATCTAAGATGAAATATATAAGATCCTTAATTTATAAATAAGAAAATTTTATTTGGTTCAAATATGTCTGTGTAATGTTTGTTTAATATATTTATTACTTTTTATTATATTGATTTTATATATTAAGTAAGTGCTCATACTATTTTTATCTTCAGAAGTTAATTATACCTATGCAATACTTTTGCTCAGGTTAAAGAATGGAATATAAGTTTAGCATCAAATGGGTGTAAAAATATAACGTACATTTTTAACTTATGATCAGAGCCACTGATTTGTTGGGTATGATCTTGTATGTTTGTTTAGTTAATTTAAAAATGCATGTTCTTTTAAAAATGCGTGTTCCACTATATATAACATTTATTTTATATACTAGATGCTTATTCGATTATTATTGTCAGAAGTTTGCTTTGCAGACTTCAATGTTTGTTTTAATTCTACCTCTGCAGTACCTCTGCTTTACATACCTCCTCTCATACTTCCAAAAGCAAGGTTAAATACTTAAACTCAATTTTGGTCATAAATTATATTATTAGACTTCGAGAGTCTTTCCTTATTAACAGCCTAACACCATATTATTTGAACTGTTTGTAGAGAAAGAAATAAAATTCTCAAGTTTTTAAATGCTTGAGCTTTAAATATTTAGACCAGATATTCCAAAATCAAAATCTGGCTTTATTTTATAATACAATGAAAATATTTTTTAAAACAAAAATTTCTAGATTTAAAAATATACTTATTTAACAGCTAATTCCACTTTTAACAAAATTTTTTATAATTTTGCGAAAATTGCAGTTTGCTTTGCTTACTTCAATAAAGTCTGCTTTAGTTAACCTTTAACATTTAAGTAAGTTTTTTTTGTTTTTATAATAGCCAAACAAAGAGTGTATTTGATAATAAATATCAGAAATATATTTCTTCTGTTTTTGTTTTTTTGTTGATAAAAGTAACACAAAACTACTAAAATTTACCCAAGTTCATCAGTTGCCCCATTTATTTTAAATTAAAAGAAGTTTTTTTTACTAATGCATTAAATGCCATAAGATGAAACATTTCATTTGTGTTTTTATTCTTTTATAAAACAAAATTATCTTTAATATTTTAATAGTTATAAACGTTTTAGTAACACCCCTTAATATATTTTATAATAATATTTTCAAAAAATAACAAGCAGTCGTAAAGCTCACTTTGAAACAGTCATGAATATATTTATTCAAAACTGAAAGTTTGCTTATATTATAACTTATAACAATCGATGATGTATATCGATTATATATATATTGATATACATTATGATGATATTTATCTAGGCACTTCAATATCGATAGCGCGGACTAGCAAAAATTGTTAATTTATGCCTAAGCATTTTGTGTGAGTTGCATCGCGTAGGCGATGTTGTCCAGTTCAACAGATGGTGTAACTGATTGTGTAATACCAATGATTCCATTACAAAGAGGAGATTCAACTCATCTTAACGATGGCTCAATTTTTTCTGTAGCACGGATATTTGACGAGTTATATGGACTCAAAAAAAGGTGAGTTTACAAAGTTCTGTATTTATATAAATATTCAAACCTCAAAAATGTTATTGAAATGTCATTAAATTCAATATATCTAGTTTATTATTTACATTCTCTTTTCGTATATAAGTTTGTCCCAATGAGATCCACCAGTTTGACTTTCACAAAAATTTTGTATTTATGCATTATTTATTTATGATGTTATTATTTCAGTTTTTGTTTTGTTTATGATCCAGTAACATTGTATGACTAAATCAAAATGTAAATTACATGTTTAATAGCTCAATAAACATGTAATTTATATTTTGATTTAGTAATTAGTAATTTACTTAATAATTAAGTTAATTAAATGACTTGTAATTTACAAGTTGTAATTTCACAAATTTGTAATTTACAATGTAAAAGATATTGATTGATTGGTTGAATTGTAATATATCTAACGTGCCACATTGATATTTTTTTCAAATATATATATATATATATATATATATATATATATATATATATATATATATATATATATATATATATATATATATATATATATATATATATATGTATATATATATATATATATGTATATATATATATATATATATATATATATATATATATATATATATATATATATATATATATATATATATATATATATATGCCCAACTTATTTATTAACTATAAAAAAGATATAGCAAAGACCATATATAAACTGTGCCTTCTTACAACCCATCTTCACGTAAATAAGTTCTCTCTAAGAACATCTGTTATTGGTATAAGTAAATATGTTAAAAAAAAAAAAATTATAGAAATTGGGTATTAATTGTAGTTTACCTTAAAAAAATTTTACCCCCTTTTTTTAAATATTTTTTGAATATGCCTTAACTAATTTTAAATACAAAACCTAATTTTAATAAAATTAAAATTAAAATTGATGGCATACCTTGGTTCTATACATTGATTAACATTTTCTCCATTTAATGTATTAAATGGCAATAAAAAACACTCTTTTAATATCTGCCTCAAATTAAAAATTGAGCATTGATTTCCGTTACTAATTAAATTTGTACTAAAACCAGAAAAAGAATTGTCTATTTTTTTCTCAGCAGTAGTAAAGATACTAGAAGATAGTTCCTTTACTTCGTTTGAGTTTGCACATGAATCGTTAACGTCGGTAATAAAACCATTTAATTTTGTAATTTTATTTTTATCAGCTATTTGAGTCTCAGAAAAATAAGAAAAATCTGCAAAATTCCATTCTTCAGAAGCATCAAAGGAGTTTTTCACAAACTCCATAAAAAAATAACATGAGTTTTAAACATTTAAATCATTCTTTTCGAAATATCGTTACCGGACTTATTTGGAATCGCATCAAAAGTAAATTACTTTATTGTCCGCTATATATTTATGTCCGCTATTTTTATTCGGAAACATTTGTTTCAAAACATTATTATTCTATATGAAGATGATCATATCTTCGCAATAAATCTTAAAAAAAATCAGACTAATATTATTATTATTGGCATTTATCTTTCATCGTCGCGCAATAATCAAACATCAATGGAGGATTACACGAGTCAGTTGGATATATATAGGTGTTATTAATAACTACGAGGGCGTTGCTGAATTTATTGTCTTTGGTGACTTTCAATCTTTTCCTCACGGAATATATGATTCATTAAAGAGAGCTAGCTCTACGAAAAATAACTACACCGTAGTTTTATCAAATTTTATTAAGTCGAATAAACTTGAATTAGTGGACGTAACAAAAAGCTCTGGAACTAACATAACGTATCACCATAATACCAAACGCATCTTACATAGATCACTTAGCTTTCTCAAAGTATACGTCTCTTCTTTATTCCAATTGTTTCGTAATTCCTTTTTTATCTCAAAACATGAGTGATCATTTACCTGTATCGATTGAAGTTGGAATTATTGGACAATCTTCTCAAGAAAACAATCATAAAAACTCAGACTAGTACAGCATTCCAAATTATGCCTGGAATAACAATGATTTTTTACAATTATATAATAATCGCTTAAATACTAATTTTAATTTTCACAATTTTACGAATCACAATTACGATGAGGAACTTATCAAAGTATATACTGTCATTACAAAGTCGGCATCTGAGGTACTTAATCAATATTTATCCATGAAAACACCGTCATTGTATTCAAAACCCTGGTGGACATTCGAATTAAGCCGTAGTAAAAATGTTCTTTCATTTTATTTTAAAAAATGGCGGGAAACTGAGTTCGTTAAAAACTTAAACTCGCAAATTTTTATTCGATACCGGATGGCACGAAAAAATTTCCGCAATGCTGTAAAAAATGCTCAAAATAAAAACCTGTACAAAGAATACATAAAAATCGAAACGTTAAAAAATACAAATCCAAAATATTTTGGAAAACTTTCAGAAATATAAAAAAAAATGCAAATTCGAAACTGTATATCATAATTAATAAAAAAGATAAAGACTCGATCACGAAAGAATTTGCCTACAGTTTTGAAAATCAATTAAACTCTAAAGCAATCACACATACCTCTACAAATTTAAAAATTCCACCTTGCACAAAATTCGACGTGGTAATAATATCGGATGAAAATATAAAAACAGTTGTTTCTTGCCTTAAATTTAACAAATCCAAAGACGCCTTTGGAATATCAGCTGAACATTTAAAGAATGCGAGCTGTGAAGCACTAACAGAATGGCTCAGAAAACTTTTTAACTTTTCTATTAATCGTGGACAGACCCCAAAATCGATGTCTACGTCACTTATAATACCACTTACTAAATCGTATAAAAAATCCTTAACTGATCCAAATAACTACTGCGGCATTAGCATCATTCCAATCTTTACGAAACTAATAGAATATCTTATCCTACTAATCTGTCCAGAAATAAAAGAAACTCATCCTCTTCAATTCGGTTTCACTAAAAATAGCTCAACCCTACACGCTGAATTTGTTATTAGTGAAACAATTAAACACTACAACAACAACAACTCACCTGTCTATCTCTGTTCCCTAGATGCTTAAAAAGCGTTTGACAGCTGCAATTGGGACATTCTATTTGAGAGACTGTACAATGATAAAAAACTCCCTCTGTGTATTGTTAATACCATATCGTCATTATACTATGAAAGCAGTGCTTCTGTTTCTTATCTAGATTGCAAATCATATCCTTTCTATCTAACGCAAGGAGTGAGACAGGGATCTATTCTCTCGCCTCATTTGTATAACATTTATACTCAAAACCTACTAGAAATCTTACAAAACGAAAGCGTTGTAGGTACATTAATCAATGGAAACTATACGGGTGTTGTAGCATATGTTGATGACATTATACTCCTTAGCTCCACTCTCTCTGGCCTACAAAAGCTTATTAATATATGTAATATGTACACACACAAAAACTGCATAAAATTGAATGCTGACAAAACCGAGTTCCTGCTCACCGGAAAAAAGCAAATTAAAAACTGCACAATAACTCTCAACCATCAACAAATAAAACTTCATGATAAACTTAGTCATCTAGGCTTTACATGGGATACAAAAAGTTGCCCTTTTGCCTCACTTAATAAATCAAACATTGATCACCGAATATCTAATTTCCGGACGGTAATCCGTAATTCAATCAGGAATCCGTTTTGCTCACCCAAACTCCATTGTTCAGTCATATAAAACTTTAGCTGTTCCAACACTAACGTATGGTCTTGAGCTGTGTGAACATAAAAAAATGTTAATGCAAAAGCTTAATATAGTTGGAAGAAATGCACTTAAGTCACTCCTCGATGTTTCAAAACATAGCAAAAATTATATTCATACCTTATTTTTTATTAAAGATATATCAATTATTGTACAACAAAACAAGCTAAACTTATTTATTCGTTTGATGAACAATAAAATGACATATGATATTATTAGGTCGCAGCTGAAAAACAAAACAGCCCCACAACATTTTTTAGATAGTATCAAAGGGTTGTGCAATAATCATGAACTAAATCTGGAGACAATAATGGAAAGTAAAAAAAAAATAAAAATTGTCGGCCTCAAAAATTTAATTCCTGAAACGGATCTTCAATCTCTAAAATGAGCAGTTGAGTACAGGAACTTAAAAGAGCAGAGAACTATCTTCAAGGACATTCATGAAAAACATATTCCAAGAATCATCATCTTTTCATCTCGTTGAAAAAAAAAAATAATAATAATTTCCAAGATTTTTTATATTTATCTTGTATGTTACTCTTAATTTACCTTAGTGTTACTCTTAATTTACCTTGTATAGTGGGTGTTTAATAAATCTAAAATAAAATGAAATAAATAAAACTGATTTATCAAATTTAAATATAATTTATATGTATCTTATACTTTACCAAATTTAAAAACTTTAAATAGCAATTTTGTACTACTCTTGATTAAAACTTTCATATTTTTAAACATTATACAACATTTCGGATTATTTGTTTAACATTTTATATACATCATAAAGTAATGTTAGATAAAATTAAATAAAATTTATGTCCAAATGCTTGAAAAAAGTCTTGACCTTACCTTACATCAGTACAAGGGACGTATCCAGAGGCGTATGTTTAGGGGAAGGGGACTGTTCAAACCCCCTCCCCTTAAAGATATGCCTCTGGATACCAAAGAATAAAGAAGGTCACGGTTAACACTGATCCTTTTGATGCCTACCTAGCTGTCCCAAGAACACCATTTTTACGGAAAGTTAGCGAACACATCAAGGTACCCTGTGATGCAAATTTTAAAATCATTTAATTTTGTCCGCGAAAAATAATTTAATTTGAATGTTAAAATTAAATTAAATTTCGACTTCATATTGCGCCAATGAAAATATTTGTAGAATTTAAACCACTCAATATAATTTGATAAAAATTGGTGAAAATATAGCCAATAGTCACACCAAACTCTGGACAAAATTTCAGCCTGATTGGATGACTGGTGTAAGTTTTATTGCAGTTTTAATTGAAGTTTTGTCAGTTTTTTTGCTACTTATACCTCAAAGCGTTACTGATTACTTTAAAATTCGGTCACTATTTTAAAAATAACGCTTACATGAGTGTTCTACAATGTCATACCAACATTATTTTATCGGTACATGTACAGTTTTCATTTTATAGTCCAAAATAGTGATTTTCTACTTAAAGCGTGATTTAAATAGTTTTATGCTAATAGTGCCTATACGGCCTTTAAAGTGGACGGGGTCAACCCCTCAATTTCTAAAATAAAATCCATAATTTCTAAAATAATTGCCTATATTTCTAAAATAAAAGTTCCTCTTAAAAAAAAAGTAGAGAAGGACATGACCCCCTAGCCTCTCCAGCGTTGACGGCCATGTATGCTTTGCTTGAATATACCAACTATTCTTAAGGTATAAACAGCTGCCAAAAAAACAACAAAAAAAAAGTGCAAAACTTAGTCAAAGGACTACCAGTTAGTAAAACAAAACAAAAAGTAGATCTCCTAAAATATTTTGTATTGACCTTCTTAAATACATTTACTTTTAAAATGAAGTGAAAACTATTTAAACCCTATTTTTTACATTGTATTACCATCAAATATCTTATTACATTTTAAGAAATGTTTTTTTTGATTTTCTCCACCAAAAGATTATTAATAAATAGCTCAATGTACTCTTTTAATACAAATACTCTATAATACTACTTTAAAGGTGGTGAAAATATTCATTATACGCCGTAAAATATGAAGTTCAGCAGCCTACTTTCTAATAAATCAAATTATGTTCTTTAAAAATGCTTACTGTTTAGATCAATTATGCAGCGCAACAATCTTTCTTTGTACTCTGGATGATCATTATTTCGCTTATACCTCGACCAATGTTGATAAAAGTCTTAATGAGAAGTTTCGACAATTAGTTCAACATAGGGCCCCAAGGAGAATCCTTTGTGACTGATGAAATCCTTGATGTGGTAGAAGACGGCGTGAGTTTTAGGTGTTACGCTTGCACCAGTTATCATTAGGTAACACTTTTTGAAATTTTCAATTTTTTCAACGAAATCCGGCTGAAGGATGTATCCAAAGCAAGCCTTGACAACAAAATCAGAACATTGACAGGCTCGCAGATAATTGGCTTTCGAATGACATTCCCAAACAGCTTTGCATAAGCAACAACCCTGCTAGATTGCTGAAAAGACTCAAGGCTTGATTTAATTGAGCCCAGTGTTCGCAAGTTTCCAGATTTGGCAAGACAATTGGATTTAACGTCACACCAGATACAAGGGTGCGTACTTGAATGAGTTTGAAGATTACAAATTATATTTACAACTTTCATATCACAAGTCAATATTAGATTAACTCCCTTTGCATTAATTAGTGACCAGATTTGTTCAATATTGGAGTGTGTTTCTGGCAAATCTTCTGAAACCCCAACAATAATTTGTATCTTGACTCCAGTGTCTTTACCAGTTCTTTGAGTGAGAGGTTGTTGTTGGTGCGGTGAGCTGGTTTCATCCCTAAACGCAGTATCAACAATGCTTAGGCAAAACTTGAGAAAACCTTTGCGACCATCAATTCCGAGCTTAACAAATTAGCCAGAGAAATTTTGCGGGACTGAATAACATGATTCACATGACTTGATAAATCATTGCAGTGAGCAACAACATGAACTGTAAAAGAATCTGTTTTTTTGTCTGTGATTTTTAAGTCGCTGCAGGTGAAGAAATCGCTCAATTTTGAACCTAGTCTTAGAAAATTCATGTAGAAATTTTGCTCAACTATCTTTCTGTTTGATGTTTTTTTTATAGTTCTAACAAGTTTCTTTAATCAGTTGTTTGACAGGCCCGTAATTAATTGCACATTTACAAGGGCTACAGTGGTCAATTTCGGAGCACTTGATGGTGTCTGCGCACTTCTTTGACCTAAAACCAAAACATACATATTTTAAAGTTACAATAAACTTTGTTTAATAAGTTTGTGCAAAATTTTCAAAGTATTCGTTTTAAAGAAATTAGAAATTTGTCAAAAATATACTTCTTGAAATCTATCTAGTGTTTCTTAATAGTCAAGACTTTATTTCAATATATATGTTAAAATTATTTAAGTATAAATATTTACCAGGGGTAACTGTAAGTGGAGGCCCGCCAGATGCTTAAGCCAGTAGAATAGTTCCTTCCGAAGATAATTCTTTATTGGAAATAACTCGAGATGCAATTTATACTTATACTAATATACCTAACTCTAATTCTAACCCAAGACCTCTCAAACTGACCATAAGACATTTCAAGTTTACCTTAAGACCCTCAAACTGACTTTAAGACTCATCGAATTTACCCCTCAAAATGATCTAAAGACCCTTCGAAAATTTTTATACAAAAAATAAAAATAAAAAATTTTGTGTTATTCTTATACAAAGTTCGAAAATGTTTATTAAAAATAAAAATTAGTTTTGAGATATATAATTTTTGTTCGACTGCGCAAAATTGACCTGCTTAGCACATGGGAACGAGTTTTAATAAGAATTGCAAGCTGTTTTGTTACTTTTGCTATCTAATAACCTTCTTAAACGAGTAAATCATACAGAGTCAAACAAAACACTCAAAGTTAATAACCCAAAAAATTTATTTAGCTTCTGGATTTTTTACTTCTGTATATCAGTAGACCTTGTTGTCATTTTTGAAAATGATCCTTTTTATGTAACAATTTCATTAAACTCATCTGTATTCTCAAAAAAAAAATACTTAAGAAAAATGGTATACAGAAGCAAAATTAAAAAAAAAGGTTGATTAACTTATAGAAGTTTTATCAAATAATATTAATTGTAAAGAGTGCATCTAGAAAATTATACATTCGTTCAGGATGCGGGGGACTTTCACCGATATTTTTGCAAAACCTTCTCATTTGACGTAAAAATGAACATATATAAGTTTGCACAATACTTAATATTGTCATAAAAGAAGTCCTATTTACCTCTTTGGGTTAAACATGTTTCTAAAAAAGAACACAATGGTGAAATTAATCAACTATGCTTAGTTATATCTGGTGAAATTAATCAACTATGTTTAATTATGAGTTAACTTTAAATCTGATTTTAAACTGGGGAAACGTTTTTTACAGCCAAGTTTTTGTTCCACACCTTTGAAGATTTTTCAAGAGTTGCATGACATGAACATGTTTTGTTGTGTTCTTTTTTAGAAACATGTTTAACCCAAAGAGGTAAATAGGACTTCTGTTATGACAATATTAAGTATTGTGCAAACTTATATATGTTCATTGTTACGTCAAATGAGAAGGTTTTGCAAAAATATCGGTGAAAGTCCCCCGCATCCTGAACGAATGTATAATTTTCTAGATGCACTCTTTACAATTAATATTATTTAAAAACAAGAAAGATCTAAATCTCTATTAATAAAAACGACTCTATATTGAATTTAAAAACAGTTTAAAGTAAAAAGATTCCTCAGTTTAAAGTAAAAAGATCACTTTCTATTAAAAAAATAAACCCCAAAAAAAGCTTCGGCCACTTATTTGCAATATAGACTTCTAGTGCAACTATTTAAGATCTTTCTACTTATAAGATTCTGTATTTAAGATCTTTCGACTCTGCATCTATCTTTAGGACTCTATCGGTATACTTATTATTTATATTGTAAACCAGTTCGGATATTATGAAAACCGTCTTTTAAAATTTATTTTTGGAAAAAACAAAATGGCTGTATTAAGGAAAGGTCACGCTGTCTACTATCAAAATGAAAATGAAGTAATCGAAAGTAAGCCTTATCATTTAGTAATTTCATTTATTTTATTTAAAATTATGCTAAATACTATTTTGTTTAAAGATGTTTTGAAAAGTAGTGGTTTTGTTACGTTTAAAGTGGCTATTAATTAAAACAGTTTACTTTATGTTTTTGTTACTGTCGCTGGCTGTATTGACGCAAAGTTATAAAAAGTAATTTTATTGTAATAATTTTATTGCAATAAATTTTATACAAACATCTAAAGATTTCATCTTTAGATGTTTATGTAAAATAAACATCCAGCTTCCCCTAATTACCTGTTCCTAGGCTGACCAGATTTTTCTGAAAAAAAAAAAGAGTATACTTCCTAAATTCAACCGTAGCCCAAAAAACGTCGGAATTTAATGATTTTATTAAAAAGCTTTTAATGTAAAAAAAGTTGAAAACACAAGTAAAATCTCTGTATTTTATACTTCGTAAAAAGGTTGAAGACACAAGTAAAATATCTGTATATTATACATTGAAAACACAAGTAAAAACTTTGTATATTATACATCGAAAAATGTTTGAAAACACAAGTGAAAACTATGTATATTATACATCAAAAAAGGTTGAAATCACAAGTAAAATCTCTGTATATTATACTTCAAAAAAGGTTGTAAACACAAGGAGAACATCTGTATATTATACATTGGAAAAGGTTGAAAACAAGGGTGTATGTATAGCCAATATAATCTATGATATATTATATAAAAATCATTTATAGATACTTTTCAGAATCTTTCGCTTTTTGTAACAAATGTTTGTTTCCTTTTATTTCTTCGTAAAATGGATCGCATGTAAGACCAATGCTAATTTTTACTTTCATTACACTCTCAAGTGTACTAATTTTTAAATGGCTTTTGTCTTTTGTCTAATATTGACCCACTTAATTAAACAAGCGTTCACATTCTGCATTAGTCCCTGGAACAGTAAATACAAATGCAACAAGCATTTCCAGCAGTTGAAGTTTTACTACAGCATTGTCATTATTTAAACCTTTTAAAACAATTTTCTATCGAGAAAATATAGGAACAGATTCAGCCTCCCAGTTTTCCAGATTTTTATCTAAACAAGCTTTGATAAAACAATAAGAGTCAAATTTTTCTTTATCATCTATGACAGAATTAGGTAATTATTTAGTTTTATTAAGGAAATAAATGTACACTTCCTTAAAGTCCTCATATGAAAATTTTCTTTTTTTATCTTTTTCACAGTCTCACCAAACAAATGAAATCGGGGTTGAAGAAAAAGTAACCAAAATTCAGAAGATCCAGAATTAAAAAAATAAAAAATTGCAAGTGGTGAATTTTCCTCATTTAGAAAATATGACTTCAAAGGTTCATACATTCTAAGTATTCTGTCTATGCATGGCGATAAAGATAGCCATCGTGTTTTTGAATGTGATAGAACCATTTTAAATTGGCATCCAATGAAGACACAAAATCCTTTTAACGTTTCTGTTCGAACAGTAAATATATTAAAATGATGATATATTTACTGAGCAGCACAGCCTATTGTCAAAATTTCTCTCTTTAAATCCTTTTCAAGCTTTGAATGAATATTACCTTCAGTTTTTTTACTTGATAAAGGACCAAAGTTAACTGCTGCATTATCTGCTGAAAATCCAATTATTTTATGATGTTTGTTGTAAAATTTTTATTTTCTAAAACAACTTTTGTTATTGTTTCTGCTGTTTCATTTGGAAGATTATAAACTTTCAAAATACTATACTTAATTTCAATAGCAGGTTTAACAACACAGTATCTTACTATAACAGGTAGAAGTTTCGTAATTTTGTGGTTCGATGTATCACACGTGACAACAACAAATTTTGCATTCTTCAAGTCTTTGTTTAACAAATCTTCAGACCAATTTAAAATTATATTATTTACAAGACACTCTGACTTGTTTCTTCCGCACGCAAACTTATAATCACAGGATTTTTTCAATAAATTTGATGTGCAGTCCATATCCCTAAAAGAATGATTGTGCTTTATGTTATGGTATGACCATAGGAGTTCAAGAGCTGTAAGTTTTGCTACATAAGTAGTTAAATCCTTACAGCGAAAAAAGTCTCTAACTTTTTGTGTTGTAGAAACTGATGAACATTTTTTATGCTTTTTTGAAGCTGCGTGTTGAATAATGTCAAATTGGCCTTTATTAATTATAGAAACTGTTGTATTGTATATAGTGCCAAAAAAGCTATGTTGATCACTTTTCACTGTTTTGGCAAATGCAAAAATTTGCACTTCCCTCTAGACATTTCATAGAAACTTGATTGCTATGCGTTCGCAATCAAATTATTGTCAAAAAAGTTGAGTTGTTTTTGACAGAACAGTAACGATAAAAATCTGTTTAAGTACAACGCAAAAAGTTAAGATTTTACCTCGTTTATCACAAAATTTATTATTTTCTTTTAAATAAGAAAGTTTTTGCTCAATAAAAAAATATATATATCCATTATAAAAAAAAAGAGAGAATATGAAAGGTTTTACTTAAAAAAGAGTATATTACTCTAAAAAAGAGTATTTCTGGTCAGCCTACCTGTTCCTAAGGTTTTCCAGTATAAGTAAGGATTAATGTGATCAAAAATAAAATAATTTGGTTAATTAATAAATGCAATGCATGATATTTTAGTCGTTTTTTTTTAAAACTGTCAGTTGTTTAATGCTTGAATGCCATTTATTTTCATATTTTTCAAATAATTGCCATTATTTATTATCAAACTATTTTTTATTTGAATTATATATATATATATATATATATATATATATATATATATATATATATATATATATATATATATATATCAGGCTTGGTCGGGAAGCGGGAGCGATCGCCCTCGATTGCTGACCACGTAAATAATATTTAGTTGTGAAAAGCTGGCCAGATTTTTTAGTCGTTTTGAGAACATTTTAAAAAGCAAAAAAAAAAAAGCGACTAAAATAAATTGGACCGATGAGAGGCAATTACAAAAAAAAATGTAGGCAAATAAAATATCTTTAAACGCGAAAAAACCTTAAGCTAAATAAATTACATTTAGAACAAATATTTTCTAAACATCGGTTTTTTATAATTTTTTTTATAAAATTAAGCGATGTTTTTTATATAATGTAACAACTTACGATCGTTTAAAAGATAAACAAATATTCTTTATTTAACTAAATTTGAAAGTTTTAGTTTTACTTAAGCTTAATTTATTTTATAAATAAAAAAGTTAATTTTTTTAATACCTATTTTATGTTTCGCATAGTTTAAAAAGTTTAACATATTTGAAGCGATTCTTCGTAGTAAGATAAACAAATGAAATAATTAAATCATTGAATTATTATAGGAATTAAATTATCAAGATAGAAATCAACTTAAAAGGTTAAAAACACTTATGACCAGGAAGCGAAACTGCTTCACAATATCGCTAATGATGTTTAGTAAGTGGGCTTTTTAATTTTAATTAGTATTTAAAGCAGAAAAAAGTATAACGAGTTTTAAGAATGGCAACTTAAGCAAAAATAATTAGAGTTAGTAAACCAATATCTAGAAACTTTTCTTTATATCTAAATATTTGCTATTATGTATTTGTGTTCTGTCGTGTTCTCAGGCGCGATGCTTGTTCATCCGCGAGTTACTTTGTATGTGTTGTTTGTGTTTAGTAACCAGAAACTTCTTATATGTTTGTTACATAATTAGTTTTATAACTTTAACGATTATAACTTCATTAAAAACGCAATTATTTTTGTAAGTCTTTGTTTAAATCATAAAAATTGCTTTAAAAGATACATTACGATAAAAAACAAATACACAAAATTACATTTACATAAAGAATACAATCTCTTTTAAAATAAAAAATAAGAATATACTAATAAAATCTATGATTTATAATAAACTTTTAAAATTTTAACAATTTAATTAATATATGTTTAAAACATTTATTTTTGTAAACAAATAATATATATTCTTAAAACAATTCTACAAATCTCAAAACGTAACAAATCGTGAATAATACAATTTTAACAGAATACTCTATAACTTAATTTCGCTTAATCAGCGTATTTTTTGAACCAATAGTATTAGTTTGTTTGTTAATTTGGCGGGTTTTTAGTGTTCGCAAATATTCTTTTTATTCTTTCGCACAAAGATGTTTTGAGAACATTCAAGTTTGTTATGTTTCCATGTATGTCCGTAAAACTAAAATTCTTTGTTTCGTACATAAACTTAAATGTTCTCAAAACGACTAAAAAACCTGGCCAGTTTTACGCAATTAAATATAATTTCCGTGGTCAGTATTCGAGAGCGATCGCTCCCGCTTCCCGACCAAGCCTGATATATATATATATATATATATATATATATATATATATATATATATATAATATAAATATACACTAGTACCAAGCTTGGTCGGGAAGCGGGAGCGATCGCTCTCGAATATTGACCACGGAAATTATGTTTAGTTGCGTAAAACTGGCCAGGTTTTTTAGTCGTTTTGAGAACATTTAAGTTTATGTACGAAACAAAAAAAATTTTGTTTTACGGACATACATGGAAACATAAAAAACTTGAATGTTCTCAAAACAGCTTTGAGCGCAAGAATAAAAAGAATATTTGCGAACACTAAAAACCCGCCAAATTAACGAACAAACTAATTCTAAAAAATACGTTGATTAAGCGAAATAAAGTTCTAGAGTATTCTGTTGAAATGTTTTAGAATTTGTATTTTTCATGATTTGTTACGTTTTGAGATTTCTAGCATAAATTGTTTTAAAAATATTTATTATTTGTTTACAAAAATAAATATTTTAAATATATATTAAGTTGTCAAAATTTTAAAAGTTTATTATAAATCATAGATTTTATTAGTATATTCTTATTTTTTATTTTAAAAGAGATTGAATTCTTTATGTAAATGTAATTTTGTGTATTTGTTTTTTATCATAATGTATCTTTTAAAGCAATTTTCATGATTTAAACAAAGACTTACAAAAATAATTGCGTTTTCAATGAAGTTATAATCGTTAAAGTTAATAAAACTAATTATGTAACAAACATAAGAAGTTTCTGGTTACTAAACACAAACAACGCATACAAAGTAACTCGCGGATGAACAAGCATCGCGCCTGAGGTCACGACAAAACACAAATATATATAACAAATAATTAAATTTAAAGAAAAGTTTCTAGATATAGGTTTACTAACTCTAATTATTTTCGCTTAAATTGCCATTCTTAAAACTCGTTATACTTTTTGCTGCTTTAAACACTTATTAAAATTAAAAAGCCCACTCACTAAACATCATCAGCGATATTGTGAAGTGATAATTTAATTCCTATAGTAATTCAATGATTTAATTATTTCATTTGTTTATCTTACTAAGAAGAATCGCTTTAAATATGTTAAACTTTTCAAACTACGCGAAACATAAAATAGGTATTAAAAAAGTTAACTTTTTTTATTTATAAAATAAATTAAGCTTAAGTAAAACTAAAACTTGCAAACTTCGTAAGTTGTTACTTTATATAAAAAACATTGCTTAATTTTATTAAAAAAATTGTAAAAGAGCGATGTTTCGAAAATATTTGTTCTAAATGTAATTTATTTAGCTTTAAGTTTTTTTGCGTTTAAAGATATTTTATTTGCCTATTTTTTTTTTTTTTTTTTTTTTTGTTGTAATTGTCTCTCATCGGTCCAATTAATCTTTTTTTTTTTTTTTTGGTTTTTAAAAATGTTCTCAAAACGGCTAAAAAATCTGGCCAACTTTTCGCAACTAAATATTATTTACGTGGTCAGCAATCGAGAGCAATCGCTCCCGCTTCCCGACCAAGCCTGTAGTACTTCAATAGTGAAAAAATTAAAACGGTAACAATTTAAAAAGTTATGCATATTTAAGTAACACAATTTGATTGCAAGGATTACTTAATGAAACTGCAACAAATTTTATAATGACATGTAGTTTTAATAGAGTCTTTTTGTAATTTGCACATTATTTTGCTTTATTTACAATATTTTAACTTAGGTACATATTCTCTAAAAAAAGTTATATCTGCTGCATAATCCTTTTCAATAAAATTTGACATTAACATAGAAAATACATTTTTAAACCAGGCCCATTAGAATTAAAGAAAGCCTTAACATACCTTGGATATCAATTTTACATCTGATCAGCAACAAAGTTTTTTAGATAAACCAATTCAATATGCTGTAATAAATACAAAATAGAACAACACAAAAATGAGTTTTAACTAATCTTCTTTATATAAAGTATCTATTTTCATATGAAATTTTAAAATACTCAAATAGTTTGATCACAAAATTATTGTCATACATTGATTGATACACACATACCTAAACAAAGCTGTCTTAGTATTTTAAAAATAAGGAAAATGTATTAGTTTATATATAAATACATTGCAAATAATGTAGGTATGTGTGCAATAATTTTAAGTTGTCTAAATATTAGAGTGTTATATATCATTGGAGAAGCCTTAAATTAATAATACAAAAGGGAAAATTTCATACAAATCTGATAACTTTGGAAAAAGTTATGACCATTTAAATAATAAACTTTATTTCATGGATTTACTACAAGTTGTGACAAACTTTGAAAACCAAATATAGGTAACCTGTAGTTTTTATGAAACTTTATTGTTTATTTTTAAAAAAATTCAATAAAACAACAAAAAGAACTTTGCTGAGTGAGAAAATAAAGCATAAAAAGATCATTATTTTTCTATAAAATTTGTAAATAAAGTAAATAAAAAATAGAAGTAAAAAATTAAATGTATATGTTACAAAAATAATTCAACATATATGATGCAACTGCATTTATAGAACAGGAAAGAAGTTTTTAATACAGATAAAGTAAATAAAAAAAGTTAATAGCTACAAAAATAAGCAAAAAAGAAAAGCATAATAAACTTTAATGAAACTATTTACTTTAATCAAAAAGTTGATATAAAATTGTTAATAAATAGACAACCAATTCATCTATACAAAAAATTTACAAATTTTTACATTATTACATTCTTTAGAATTTTATAAAAATGATTTTTTAGATGGAGAAGAAAACGATGAAGATGAAGAATATAATGAAGTAGCTCTACCAAATGATAATGTAAGTATTTTAGGTTTTTTTGACTGTTTAAACGTCTTTTTTTCAAATATGGTTTTGGATCTATATTTTTGAATACTGTCAACTATTAAATTAAACAAACTATCCTTAAATCTAATTTGATATTTGATTACATAAAAATATTCAATAGATTATTGAATGTTTTAATGTAATCAAATGTTGATTGATTGATTGATTGATATTTATTAGAACAAAGTATAAGTACATGTTCTAAAGGACACGAAGGCCCATACAAAGATGGACACTAACAACGTGCCCAAAGAAATTTAAAAATATCTCTACAAAAAAAAAAATAACAAAACTATAAAGAAACAAATAGTTGTTCCTTTTACAATAGGTATTTGTTAAAGTCGAAAGATTTAATTTTATTTTTAAACGTTAAAATGTTATTTGCATTTACAGCCTCTGAGGTCATATTGTTCCACATTTCAACAACTCGATAAGAAAAGCTATGTTTTCTTAAATCCAAGCAACAAGATTGTTTGCTTATTTTATAATTATGACCCCGGGTGTAGCTGTTATTGTCAATCGCAAAGAACAGAGATTGATCAGTACAAACAAGTTTACGAAAAATTTTAAAGCAAGTTACTAAATCGTTTTTAAGGCGCTAAACTTCGAGTGATTCGATACCAAGCAACTGTAATCTATTATGATAGGAAAGATTTCTGAGGCTTCTTATTTTTTTTGTAAATTTTCGTTGGACACTTTCAACTGATTTAATCAATCCAATTTGGTGTGGTGTCCATACTGGAGAACAATATTCTAAAATTGGTTGTATATAGGTAGTAAAAGCTCTAACTAGGATACAAGGGTCACGTGTTTTAAAACATTTCAAAATTAAGTATGCTCTAGAGTTAGCTTGATGGATGACCATAGATGAGTTTTTTCCGGGAATTCCCGGAATTCCGGAAATTCACATCAAGTTTCCGGGAAATTCCGGATGCTTTTTGCTATTGATTTGCAAAAAGTTATAAAATTTTAAATACGACATGGTTTGCATTTAAACAATTATGTTTTCTATAAATGAAATTTTCACGAGATCAATTTTTTCAAAAATTTTTTTTCTTTTTAATTCATTCAAATTAACTTTTTCGAATATTAGAAATTCTTTTTCTTAAGAAGTTAATTGATGTAAATTCCGTTTTAAATGTTTGCAAAAGATCTTGTCGTTAAAAATTACTATCAAGAAGAAAGAAAAGAAAATGCAAGTTAAGAGTTTATCTGACATTTCTGAGATAGACAAAAATATTAAAAACAAGTTTCGCTGGAATTGGCTTTAAGAGAAAGACTATAATGATGAGCATTATTCAGCCTATATTACAAAGATAAATAAAGCCGGAGCGGTAAGTTTATCCTCTAACCGAACACTGAAATATATAACTTCATCATAGTTATATATTATTTGATTTGATGTTTTAGGTACGATGTACAATATGTAATAAAGACTTTTATTATGGAAGTGAAGGTAAAAAATCTTTACTCAGCCACTCAAAGTCTAAAATGCATCGTCAAAACTGCGCAATGATTAAGTCCAACGAAGCCATACCGTCGTCATTTTTTACTAATTTAAAAAAAACAGATATGTGTGTATTGCCATATGGCACTCTGGATAACGTGCATATTGGCAGTACTTGCACAAAGAGAGTAAAGCCTACCATTAAACCTATTGTAAGTTTTAGAGACAGGACATCAAATGCAGAAGCTATGACACTCGCATTTATTTGTGAACACAATCTTCCAATATCTTAAACATCCCATATGATTGAATACGCAAAGGAAATGTCTAAAGATCATCGTGTTTTAAAAAATTTGAAAATGTTCAGAACAACTGCTTCGTATAAGCTTCGAGAAGGATTAGATAAAGCTTTTCATGCTGAGCTTGTTTTTGATATGAAAATAAAAATGTTCTCCCTTAACATAGATGAGTGCTTCTCGGCAAAAAATGAGAAGGTTCTCAGTATACTCGTAGCATATTTTTGCGACAAAACTAATAAAGTTGTATTAAAGCACTACGCGTCATTATCGCTTGTTACGGTAAATGCCGAAAGTCTTTTTAATGCTGTTATTAATTTATTTAACAAAGACGCAATTCCATTAAGTAATCTTGTTTCCAATTTATCAGATTCTACCAATTATATGAGAGGAAAAATCAGTGGGTTTGAAACAAGGTTAAGAAAAGTGGTTCCTCACTTACTTGATATTGATGGTGATATTTGTCATCATGTGCATAATGTTGTCAAAAAATTTACTTCTTTTTTCGGCAAGGTAGTTGAAAACTTACTGGATGATATCTACATTGATTTTAAATATAGCCCAGATCTTTGTACATTTCTGAAAAAAATCTGTCAAATCACAGGTGTCACATACAACACTCCAAAGCAAAGGGTTTGTCATCGATTGTTGTCTGTTTTAGATTGCACTCTTCCTATGCTTGAGATGATGCCTGCTTTCACCTTAATTTATTCTTCTTGGCTATCAAAACAAGACATCTCTCTGTATAAAGATGAAAGTGACAAAATTTTAAAGAGGCTATCAAATAAAAGTAAGAAACTAATAGAAAAAATAAAAAGTAAAATGCAGCAGAAAAAACTAACAAAACAAGGTGCAGAAAGAAAAGAATTGTTAAAAGTTTATTTTTCCGACGTAATGAAACATTACTTTATATTAATTTGTACGTTGAAATTCTTCCTATTTTTAAATCATTTATTTTAACTTTTGAACAAAAAGAACCGTTAGTCCATCGAATTTATGATGAGCAAATTGAACTAGTGAAAACAATTTTAACTTGTTTTATTAAGCCAAAGATGATAAAAAATATAACAGGAGAAAAGTTGAAGTTTTCAAACCTGAAAGATAAAAAAATGTATCGCCATTTGAACTACATATACCTTGGAAGTAATGCTGAAAAATATTTGTCAAGAATACTTATTCGAAATCCTGATTTCAAATCATCGTTTTTAAAGACCTTGCTAAAAGCTTACCTTGAATCGTCAGTTTACTTACTTAATAAATTACCCTTTATTAAAATGCCTCTCTGCGATCGACCCAATGTCTCAAGGTCACAAAATTACAGAGAGAATCTCAATGCAACTAAGGCCTGGTACACGTTTTTTCGAACAAAAATGTAAGATTTTTCAATTGCAATATATGTAAATTTTTTTGTCAAAAAGTATGACATGTTTGGTATGTTTGGAAAGATTTTTTTAACCACTATTATAATCTGGTAAAAGTAATGCGACTTTAACAAATCGTCAAGCGTAGTTTTATTTAGAAAAGATGTAATTTTCAACATAAAGTACCGTGGGGCTTGGCTATAGATGAGTCTATAAATTTGATTTTTTCATAAAAGCATGTCTTGGTATTTGTTTTCAATGAATGTAACGTGACATTTACGATTAGACATTATTTGGGGAAAATATCCATGAAAAACTATTTTTTTATGAAAATTGAAGTTAATATTTTCAATACCACACCTAAATGAATAATTTTAACAATAATGTCAAATTAGATTCAGATAAACTATGGTAGTGTTAATGTTTCTGCAAAAGTCGTTTTTACATAAATATTCACAACTTTAAGCCCCAATTAAAAAACTGTTTTCGGTATTTAGTTTCATTTTTTGAAATACTCGGGACTTATTCGGCATCTTAAAAAAATAATTTATTCCATTTAGCAGAATGCGTCAACAATTTGAAAAAAGAGGCGGTAAACTTTATAAACAAGTTAGTTTTGATTTTCATATCAGCAGCATATAAACTTTATAAACAAGTTAGTTTCATTGCTTCTAAAAATAAATGCAATCAACTTTTTAAATTAAAGTATGGAATGACTGTGATATCAGTTAATATAATATTTTTTACTCTTTAAACTTTATAGATCATCACTATGTCTATAATAGATCCATTATCGTGTGGTTATGTCAAAGTTATTGTGTTTAACCTGCTGATGTCAAAGGCTTCCTTACAGCAAAGAATTGATGAATATAATTCAATATTCAGCTGTCAAAAAGAAAATTTTGCTGTCTCTAATGATATCCATCGTCGAAATTTTCCTAAGATTAAGGCAAAATTATGTTATCTTTCTAAACGACATAGTGCAAAAAAGAAGATAATAATGGACACATTTTCTTTAAATGCATGGATTAAACTTAGTTTAACAGAAAAATGTCGATACAGGTTTTCCAACTGTCAAGAGTGTGTTAAGCTTAATGCAAATGTGTTATCTTTAATCCCAACAAACACTAAGTTTTACAAAAAAAAAGCAAGTTATCTTTTGTCAAATGAAATCGCAACTGGAAACAAAGAAAATTTAATAAGTTGCGCAAGTACTTTATTGGATGAAACAAATAGAAAATTTAAAAAACAATACTTTATGCCAATAACAAATGCAATACCCCTCATACCTGATTCAAACTTAATTCAGAAACCATCAAGAACTGACACAAAAAAATTACGCAATAAATATGCAAGGTTATTCAAATGCAGTGTTGAAAAATGCTTTGAAGAAACAGCAGCTGTAAGGTACATAATCTTTAAAAAGCTAAAACTGTTTTTTATATAACTTTATTTAGTAGATTCAAATTGAGATTTTGTATTTTCCAAATTGAAAAATCCTCTTAAATAAATAAAAATATTTTATTTATAGGGCATTTGGAACTGAAATATCTTTGCGGAAGGCTACAAAAATACGAATGAATCAAAGCTTTGAAACTTTTGCAAACTTAAAAGTTCGTAATGAAAAAAAAAATCCAAATAAACTTAAAGATCATACTGGAAACTACACAAATAAATGGAATGAAAATGATTGTTGGAAGGAGGTAGTTTCTTATGTGCCAGGTACAAAAATCAATTTTACTGAGCTAGCAAAAAAATACAATGTTATTAACAGTAATGGTGAGATAGCTAAAAATGGGGGTCAAATTGTAAAACAGTTTCTATCAAGTAAAGGTGTTGACTTAAGTTGTTTGAAATATAAAGGCCAAGGAAATAGAATAATAAGACGATGTAAGAAGAAAATTCATGCAACAGATATTAGTATACCTGCTGAACCAACAATAAAAAAAATTAAGTTGAATATAAAAGAGAAAGTGTCTAAAGGAGAATATACCATTGGTGAATTAATTATACCACAAAAGTTCCAAATCCTTACAATAAATGATGATAAATCTTTTAAAACTACTGAGGTAGATGTAGCAGGTAGAAAAATCCCTCTTAATCATATCAGAAAAACACTTGCTGAAAAGCACAAATGTTTTATGCGATTACATTCAGAATCTGAAATAAATTCAATGAGCGATGGCAAGGTTAAAGAAGAACTAAATCGTTTAAATGAAAACGACAATAGCATTCACAAACTTCAGGATTTGCGAAAAAAACTATTATATTTTAACAGAAGAAGACACATACAAGTTTGGCATGATGGATCTACTGTAAACAACCATTCACATTTACTGTTTATGGTGAACTGTGTGTATGATAAAGCAATATATTACACTGAAAAGGAGCATTTTGAAATTCATGGTAAAAAAATTGACGTTCAAGCTCAGATTGAAAAACCTGAACTTTATATATTTGCTCGTTGTTCATCAACAGATAAACAGCTTACGTACACAAGTACCAGAAATGAAGATAACAGACTGTTAGGAGAGTCTATTGATATAAATGGTGAAAAAATTAATGATATAATGCGTTTTTTTCATGGTGATGCACCTGCCTGTCAGTTTGAGATTGGATAGCAAAAAGGAGGTGATTATCCTTGTTGTGCATGTCCAATTAACATAAATCGCTCTTATGATACAGCTTATTCATTTTATCAACCTCTGCTGAGTATAGAAAATAGAGTAAAGAAGCTCACACTTACTCAAATAAGCAGAAATAAAATAAACAAACAGCAAATTAAACTGTACAAAAACTTACCAAAACATGAAATTATTGATGAACTTAATGAACGAGGAATATATTTTCAATATAAATCACACAAAAAAATTCTTCAGCAAAAACTTGATAATGAAATGCATGGCATGCAGCGATTACCAGCTTTGCTGTTTAATGAGGATTTCGATGACTTAGAAAAGCTTTATTTAAGTAAATATGAAATCTTGCCATGTGAACCATTACATGATGTGAAAGGTCACACATCTAATCTTTATGAAGAAATCAGTTCTCATTTAAATACTATTGAACAAAAACTGTTTAAGGAAATGGTGAGTTTATCATTTGACAACAAAGATTGCAAACGTGGCATTGACTATCGTAAAAGTTTAAGTAAATTAGTTTTGATATTGAAAGGAAAAATTGATTCAAGAGCTTATAATGTTTTATTAACAATGTTTTACATTCAAGGCATACTGTATGGTAATGAACTCAGTAGAACAATTGAAAATATTTTGTTTCTTTACAATCAAACATTTTTGCATTCAATTTATTTAAAAGAACTTATAAAGGACAAACCAATAGCAGTTTCACAGCAAAAAATGTATGGCAAATACCAACATAACCTAATAGTACATGCCCCACACATGTTAAGAATAATCTCTGGAATATCAGCAAATGCTGAAGAAGAGGAAAGAACTTTTAATACAATTAAAACTATAAACAGTTCAACTACAAACCACAATAGTGAGCATGTGATATTAAACACCTTGCTTCGACTACAATGTCATAAAAGCTTCAATGAGGGCTGCAAAACTCAAAACCATCAACATGCAATAAGAAAGATAGTAAAAGATTATGAACGAACAGAAACAGAAATTCCATTTTTGGATTATTGAAATGTATCCATGGATATGGCAAGGTCATTTAGAGCGGATATCAGACTACTTGTCAGAAGGTAATAATATTTGGTGGTTTGAGTCAAAAAATGGAATAACATTTAAAGATAAAATAAGTAATATTTCATCAAAATTGCAGCTACATCATTTTCGCTCATCCACATTAATGTCTGAATATATCAATCTTAAGAACATTTGGAATGAATGTTTATTGAACAAAACTAAAATTCCTGCACAAAAGATCAAGATTGAGTCGAACGAGGGTACTCAAGTTGTTAATTGTAACTCTTTAAAAAAATATATAGTTTTAGAAAATAAAAACCCAAAAATTCAGACCAGCACCAATGATTCTTTTATTCATTTTGCACAAATAACAGAGGAACCAGAAAAAGAAAGTTCAATTCAGATGCAAAAAATAATCAGATCAAAGAACCTAAGTATGGACCAAGCAACCAGTACTCCCCTTTTTATCTGATGTTTCAACCAAGCCTTATGTTCAACCTATTAAGGAAATCACTTCACCAATAAAGACAGTTTTTAAAAGATATCAACCCGTAGCAACTTCTTTCAATGAAATTCATTTATCAAATAACACCAATAACATAACAAAATCAAAAACAAATGTAGTTAATCTTAAAGACAAGGAAATATCAGCAATAAATTTGTTTAATAACACAGTTAATATTTAAAAAATATTAACTTTAAAAGTATTTATTAGTAATATATACATATAGTTTATATATATATATATATATATATATATATATATATATATATATATATTTTGTTGAAAAAAGAAAGCTTGTCTTTTATGCTACTTTTTGTTGAGATTAGCGCATAACTTGATGAAAGAAAATACTATATTATATAAATAAAATTATATGACATAAATAATGAACAATGAAATCATAACTCATGCATCAAAATATTGTTAATAAAGTCTTATAAAATATAGACATAAATTTTTAGTACCTCCATAAGTTTATGTTTCTTTCAAGAAAATAATAGACAATTGGTTTCTTTTGTTTTTATAACAATAACTTAAAAGTAACATAAGTTACTTTTAACTTATTTTTTATAAAAACAGTTAAATCTTTGAATACTAAGTCGATACAAATAGGTATTATGGCTTCAGTAATGTATCAAAACAAAATATTTTTTGTTGTTAGCACAGCACAGAATGACATATATTGCATAAGTTATTTCAGCTGCTTTTAAAAATAACATATTGTTCATAAATATACCAACACAAATGTATTAAATTGTAATTAGGTTCACAAATCATGTCAAACAAACGCTACAAGATATCTTTGTAATAACATTGACATATCTCCAGCAAAACGATCAGAGACGCTTCGGTTACTTATAATATTTTGCCATTATTAATTATTTGTTTGCATAAATTAAATACCGATAAAGATAAAGTTCTTAGGATTGAACTAACAACCAATCAGATTTGATTAAAATTATCGGCTTTTTTTTTTACGAGTCTGTTTGTTCTATGCCTTAGTTGCATTGAGATGCTAAAAAAACTCTCAACTTTCTTTCCCTCTGTAGATATAAATAAAGTAATATTTAATTGAGAAGTTATGCAGCTTCAGATAGATATAGCGCTTCCACCCGTATTTGATGATGGGAAGCCCGTACGTCTTGACTATTGGTGGGCTGAAGTTTTTAAGTGTAAAAAATATTTAGAGCTTAGTAAGATTATCAAGGCATGCTTAAGTATTTTTAGTAGTCCTCATGTTGAGCAATCATTCAGCATGATGAACACCATAGTTAACAAAAAGACAAACCGTCTTGATACTTTAACGTACTCTGCTATAGCTTCAGTTAAGTATCAATTATTAGCAAACGAGACCACAGCAGTAGGGTACTTTAAAAGGCGAGATATATTGCATGATCCAGTTAACAAAATTATCTGTGGTCATTTGCAAACTGCAAGCAAACGCTATAATAAAAAAATGAAATTCCATCCGAAAAATAGAAAAGTTGAAGAAAGATTTTTAAATATAAATTCAACGTGGAAAAAAAAAATTGCCTTACATGAACAGTGCAAAAAAGTTAAAGAATCTATTATTGATCATGAAAAAAAGTGCAGAAAAAGAAAAGCTGACGAATGCTTCACAAAAGAAAATTATAAGAAAAAAAAGTATTGATTCCTGACATTTATTCCATTGTCTTACATTTTATATTTTAAATATAAAGAAATTATTGCGCTTTGCAGGTTGCTTATGTTAAAACTGAGATATTATATTTCATTTTAGAGAAACATAATTAATGAGTAGTTTTTAGTTTCTTTATTTATCCCTTTACCAACGTTCCAGAATTTACCCACATACCTTTGTCAATTTATTGACTCTAAATTTTTCCGGGATTTTCTGGAATTTTCATGAAAATGACTTTCCGGGATTTTCCGGGATTTTCAAAGAAAAAAATTTCCGGGATTTTCATAAAGTCAAAAACTCATCTATGTGGATGACGTTAAAAATATGTTTTTTATAATTAAGGTTACAGTCCATTGTTACTCCTAGATATTTTGGGTTTGAAGACCAAGCCAAAGAATATTCACCTAATTTAAAGTTAACCTTTATACCTTTGCATAATGAGGGAGGTGCTATTCTAAGTGCAAAATACTTACTACAAGCAATTGTTAGTTGCCAAGTTTCTACCCATTGTAAAAGTCTTAAAGCAACAACTAAATCTTGACTAAGATCCATATCACAGTACGAGCTATATAACTTTATATCATCTGCGTAAAGTTTTACACAACAGTCCAGATTATTAGTTATAGCGGTTAAATCATTAACGTATAATAAAAATAATGTGGGACCTAACACACTACCCTGTGGAACTCCACTAATAATGCGTATAGAGTTTGATATAGAATTACCGACCTTGACTTGTTGATATCTATTGGTGAGTAAAGCGGAAATCCAATTTAAAAGATTACCTTTTATGTTATAGGATGCAAGTTTTACTAATAGTTTGGTATGCGAGACAAAGTCAAACGCTTTTTGGAAATCAATACAGACAACATCTGTTATTTGATGGTAATCGAGTGCGGTGTTCCAATCATTAGTAGATTCTAAGAGATTTGTACTGGTTGAACGTTTGTTGAGGAAACCATGTTGATTAAGAGATATTAAATTATGATGACCTAAATACTTTATGACATACACATTGATCATTCTTTCCATGACTCGACAGCAAGTGCATGTCAGTGAGATGGATCTATAATTACTTGGATCTGCAGTAGTTCCTTTTTTAAAAACTGGAGATACAAAAGCTTGGCACCATTGTTTAGGTAAAGAACTTGACTTAAAACTGGTATCAAATATAAATTAGAGTGGAATACAATATAGATGAGCTAATTTTTTCAGAAGTATGTTAGGTATGCCATCAGGACTAGGATGTGCTGGCTTTAATTTCCTTCAAAATTTATACACTGCTTCTGGTGGAAATAGTACAGTTTCAATACCAATTGAATCATCAACATAACTATTAATAAATGGAGAGCAATTGTTATCATTTGTAAAGACACTGCCAAAGTGTTTGTTAAACACATCAGCGATTTCTTCGTTACTACAAGTTATCTAGTTATTATTGTTTTTGTCTTTTAGAGAAAAAATACTTTTAGAGTTATTTAATTTTTTATTAACGTAATTAAAAAATTTGCTGATATTGTTTTCCTTTACAAGTTTAAGTTTGACTCTCATTTGGTAAGTAAGTAATGAGTTTTTACATTTACTAGCGTATTTGTTATATGCTTTTTTGTGTGTAATGTTTTTAGTATTTGACCATCTTTTCTATTAGAAAGTTTTACGATTTAACATTTTCCCAATAAAACTCGGGTAGTGTTTTATTTTTTTATTAAAATTACTCTATTTAATTGGAACAAATTGATGAGTACCATTGCAAAAATGATTGGAGAAAACGTTTCAATAATCTTCAACTGTAATAAAAAAGGAAAACTCGAAGTCCCAATTGATATTTAATAAATAAAACTGAAAACCATCAATGTCGGCATTAATGAAGTCGTAGAAGGATTCAATATTTTTATTTGACTGATCGAGATGATTTATATTAATAGAGAAGTGGACAGTGTTATGGTTACTGGTGCTGAAAGAACATTCAACTGAAATAAGACTAAGAAATAAGATATTATTTGAAAATACAAGATCAAGAATATTGTTTTCACAAGTAGGTTCCTGTACAAACTGGTGCAAACCGAGATTGTTGACTAAATTTAAAAAAAGGATATGGCACTTTTCGTTTGGTGATAGGTAATTAAGCCAGTCTATTTTAGGAAAATTGAAGTCACCGACAATAACAAATTGAGATACAGAGTGGCATAGATTATATATAAATGCAGTCATAAGTTCGATATAAGCCACATCGGCAATGGAGTAAAAAGGTGGGCGATAGCATGTGATTAAACGGAGATTATGTGAACTAAAAATTAAGTCGGATATTGACATTGTCTATACAGACGATGTCAATATCCGTGTCCGTTTGAGTTGTTTGTACTTATTCCGATTTAATGTCATTTTTACAATATAACAATATATTACAATATATTACAATATAAACAAAATAGCTACTCCCCCTCCAATTTTAATGCGATCCTTACGATAGATTGAGTAATCTTTTGAACAAACAAAAGAGTCAGATAATTATTGGTGAAAAATGTTTCGCAAACGCAAATTATGGCAGGTTTATTTGTTTACTAAATTTAAATTGGTTGGTTTATTGCGACAAATTTGTACAAATTATTGTACAAATTATTTGTACAAATTATTGTCTGGTTTACTCGATTTAGATATAAGATGTTCACAACTAATACGTGACGACTTTGCAAGTTCTGTTGCACAATGACTCATATGACTTAATTTCCTGTTGTTAAAAAGTAATTGCTATTTTGCGATTTTAACGACTCTGTTGTTTCTAATACCATAATAATATATAAAAGATTCTGAATTTTCTAAATTATTTTTTTTACATTCATCTCATAACAACTTTGCTTTATATCTTTCTGCCTCAGTTAAATCAGGGTTAATATAAATGTTTTTAAACTCACTCAAATTTTTCAATAATTTTGCAGCTTTTAAAATTGAATTGCGATCGCTCTTATTTTCGATTTGAGCTTCATATATATAAAAATACATTAAAAAATACATTATCAGGCCTTGCGATGAATAAGAACTGCGCGACGCATAAGCACGACGTGATTTTTGACGTCATTAAATTCTTTTTATTTGCTTTTCATATTTATCGACATTAACTGCACCAATTTACTTAATTACCACAAAACTACTTTAAATCGTTTTTGTAGAAATGTTATTATTTAAAAATGTTTTGGAATGTTTTGTTTTTTAAAATGTAAAAACATTTGTTTATTTTCTCGACGTTTGTCACGTTTTTTCTATACTAAACGAATAAAAAACATTATAACTTAAATTTAAAAAAGATTATAAAATATGTTAATATTTGATTTTTTTTTTCTTAAATATGTAATTTAAATAATTATTTTTTCTTTTTAAAAAGTCAGCGAGTAATAAACTGGAATTTTTAATATTGTACGATTAAAAACTGTGCAATAGCTAATATTTTTACAAGCGATTTTAAATAATATTTATTTATTTGTTTTTATTTATTTTCATAAAGCGGTTGATAAGCACAATCACTCGTATTAATTAAAAACTTAAACGAACGTTTTGAATAAATTTTTAATGCTAACAAGGAATTTTATTTCAAGTAATATAAAATAAAAAGTTAGAATAAAAATCTTATAGTTATAAAAGAAATATTTCAGCGAAAAAATTATTATTAAAAATTATTCTTATCGAAAAACTATTGACGTTTTATTTTTCAGCAGCTGTTCTTGATCACGCTTCGTTGAGTTTCTTTAACTTTTAACATAAAAGCGATCGTTATTATTTAAGTAATTTTTTTGAGTTACTTTTTACAAAAATTTTAATAACTGTACTTTTTTATTGAATCAAGTAGAATACGTTTTAATATTAATCCTTTTTTTATTTTATTTGTGTTCACCAATTTTTATAATGTTTCCTCGAAATTACTCTTAAATACTTTAAATACGTCTAACAGTTAATAAATATTTTTAAATCTTTTTTTTTAAAACCTAACAAACCCCCGTAAAATAATTATTTAAGTTTAAAATCTAAAACTAAAAGAAAGTATTTTTGTTCAATTTTATCGAAAACTTTGCTATTGCTGAATAATTTTATTAAAATGTTAGCTTAAAAGATTTAAACTTTTTTTTTAATCTGAATTTTTTCTACTTGTAAATAATGAGCATATTTAATTTTTTTTTAATTCTAACTTTTATTTCAACTGCGTGCGGATTTTAAAATACTTTATTAAATGTTAAAATAATCGTAAATTACTTCATTAAAATTCCACTCAAAAATATCTTTAAATATACTCAAACAAAAATTTTTTTGCTCGACGCAAATAGCCCTAGCTACACGCAAAATCGCTCTTGGACGACGTAAAATTCACATCGCCAGACGCTTTATCGCAAGGCCTGCATTATTGTAATACAAGTAATGAATTCACTCCATATTAATAAATGATAAATTTAAAAACACAAATCTTAAATGTTTCAGCTTAAAATCTTTTATGGTTTTTGAGTTCTTGAGCACATTTGAATTATTTCTTAATAATGGTTTGTGATGTCACACTATATTTATTACATAGTAACTTAACAAATTAGATTGTATTAGTTGTATCTAAACATTTTTTTGTAAAATAATCCTAATAATTTCTAAAAAATGATGTCTTGTTCTTTGTTTGTAAGTTAGAAAGTAAAATTTGAAATTTGTTGATGAATATAAACTTAGATAAAAATACTGAAAAAAATTATTTTATCAGCTTGTTGCTCCCACGTTAAGGGCTAGGTGGGCCAAAAAATACGGTTTTTTTTGTCCCCAAGCTCTTATCACCGCAACTCTTTGCAAAACATTCTCATTTGACATAAGCATGAACATACAAAAGTTTGGAGTTTGCACAATACCTGTAAGTGTTAAAACTCAAACATTTAAAAGTCCAGTGTACACCACTGATATATATATATATATATATATATATATATATATATATATATATATATATATATATATATATATATATATATATACATTATCCTTGTTACTGTTCTGATAACTTTTATGTTTCAATATTTTTGATCATTGTTCTGTTTTCTGGTGCTGTTCTAATATTTTTATTGTTCTGTTTTCTGGCAATGTTTCAATATTTTGGTTATTTTAAATGTTTCAAGTTTGCTTGTATTAGTAGATTGTTATTTTATTATTTTACCATTTTGAGATTAAAATATTTAAATAAAAAGATCAAATCTTATTTGATTATTTATGATAATCAAATATATTATATTTCAAGCTAATTCAGCAATCAAATAAAACTAATCTTGATTAAAAGCTAACTTTATTCACATCAATGTTATTTGATAAAACAACAATTTTTTTTTATTATAATAGCTTCTGTCATCACTGTTAAAGAAAATATTTTATATTAAAGCATCTTTTTTTGAATAATATTTTCTTTTAAATGATTATGATAGGTTACAAACAAGAAAAAAAAAAAGACTAAAAAGAGAAGAAGAAAACGAGCAAAAGGAGAACAAAGGAGTAAAGTAATGATGTTAAAAAGTTTTTTTTCTTCATATGTTTGTACACGCTTTTACATTAATAAGCTTTCTTCATTAGGAAGTTCAATATAATGAAGTAATCCGTAAAGAAGATAAAGTTGAAGTAGAATATGTTCAAGAAAAAATTGACTTTCCAAAGTGGGATCCTCAATATGCAGCCTTTAGTAAAATATTTGAAGCTTTCCAGGTATTATAAATTACTTTTTTAATATATATATATATATATATATATATATATATATATATATATATATATATATATATATATATATATATATATATATATATATATATATATATATATATATATATATACATACATATATACATACATACATATACATACATACATACATATACATACATACATACATACATACATATGTATATCAGCCCTCAGAATTAGGGTCAGTATTCAGCAATGCCAACCCAACTGCTGACCTAAAAGTGTTTGAGGTCGGTAAAAAATTGTAGACCTCGTTCTATGTTTATAGTAACTCCAAATTTTTTTTCAAATTTTTTTTGCTGACCTGTAGCAGTTTGAGGTCTGAGGTCGGCATTTATTGCCGACCTCATTTTTTTCTAATTCTGAAGGTTGATATATATATATATATATATATATATATATATATATATATATATATATATATATATATATATATATATATATATAGGCTTTCCCAGGAAAGGTGTGCGGTCGCACGCCTTGTTTGTCCACGCATAGAATAAATTTTTCTGACTAACTGACCACGTTTTATTATTATGCGTTTCAAGAATTCGCGCCAAAACAAAGCTAAACGAAAATACCGCAAAAATGCAAGCAATCTTAAAGTAAATAACAGAAATTTGTTTGTGCTTTAAAATTAAAAAATTAATGTATATTATTAAAAAAAAACTTTACCTATATTTTATATTTTTATTTTTTTAGGGTGGTAGTTATTTAAGCTATGAAAAATCAAATCAAAAAGAAAAAGATTAATGTTTAAAGAAAATAAAAGGACCTTTTAATGTAAAATTTGTTTATGACTTTAATCAGTCAGTAATACTTTAAAATTCACGCTAGAACTATAAACAATTTTTAAATGTTTCGTAAATACATTTAAATGTTTAAATGTATTGATTTTAATGTTAATGCTATTTATTTTCTTGTCTAAGTATTAGGGAATAAAGACATTGCCTTTGCATAAACCTTCGTAAAAACTAAATTAAATGAAAAAGTTTAACCAAATTTGTCTAGCGTAAATAATGAATCAGTTTTTTAATACATTGTCTGATAAAGTTCGTGAATAAATTACGTATCAAATCTTTATTTTCGTGAAAACTTTATGACTTATCGTCGTCTTTTCCTTGACTTGTATCAAATTTCGTAGCTGAAAATAGCAACCCTAATAAAAGAAAACAAAAACAGTATAAAAATTTAAAAAAAAATGTTCAAGACTTTTTTTTTTTTTGTTACAAGAATTTTTTTTTTTAATTTTTTTTTATTATCAAAATATTTTTCTTACATCCAATTTCAATTTTATACTTAGTTTAGACTTCGTTTCATTTGTTTAATATTATTTTTTATTTTCTGTGGATAATTTTCGCTTTCTTACGAAATAATGCCGCGGTCACGTTTTCTGAAAAATTTATTCTATGCGTGGACAAACAAGGCGTGCGACCGCACGCCTTTCCTGGGAAAGCCTGTATATATATATTAGATCCATAAAATCCTTTTAAGTTAAAATCTTTTTAGGTTGTGCATTGCAAACTTAAGCAGGAGTAAAGTATACTTGATAAATTTAAAACTCTAACAAAAAATTTTAACAAAAACTGTTTTGGTTTATATCAAGAACACTATTGTTGTATTAAAAGATTGTGTCTAAAACCACTTCATATTTCATGTCTTTTGCTCTTTTTGTAAAACTTTAGAATGAGAGAAAAAGTTTTTTTTGCATTTCACCTTTAATTGAATGAGTTAAATGATCTGTATCTGCATTAGTGATTTATTTCAGTTGTTTTACCGGGTACCCGGAATCAGCCATTTTCTTGCAGTATCAGGTATCTTAAAATAAATTCGTAATAAAATTAACCTAAAGTGCTGTAACTATTTTTTCATAAGGTACTTTAAATTGTGTCGAAATATTATTAACAGGATTGCTTTTATTTTAAACTTCAGTCAATAAACTTTTTGATATAAGTTTAAGAGTGTTATGGAGTCAATAACTGTAAAGCTCTATTTATTCAATATAGATGTGTCTCCCTTAAAATATTTTTAAAAATAAATTTTGCAGAAGAAACAGAATATATTGCACAAACATATTTATGCAGATATGAGTATCAGTTTATTATTTTAATAAAACCTTTAATAAACCTATTGAGTATCAGTTTGTTATTTTAATAAAACTTTTAGTAAACCTATTGAGTATATGATAAAAAAGTGTTGTATTGTAATAGTTGGTTAATTTTTTTAGATTGAAGAAAAGCAAATAAAAAAAGAGGAAGAAGAAAAAGAAAGCGCAGTTCTTAAAAAAAAATCTGAAGATACTGGACGCGATATAAATGATGATGATGATGACGACGATGATGATGCTGAGAAAGAGGTGAATTATTATATCTCAGATAGTACAAATATTATATCTCAGATAGTACAAATATTATATCTTCGATAGTACAAATATTATATTGCAATTAGTAAAAGAATTATATTTCAGATAGTATGAATTTTAGTAGTAGCATAGCAAAGGGCTCAGAGTTACTAGGGACCTAAGCCAAAATTTTCACTTTTTTTTAAGAAAGTTGTCGGTTTTAAAAATTATATGCATGTACATAAACGTATATGTATATAAATATACATAACATATGTATATAATCATAGCAACATTAGCAATCTTTGCTGTTATTATATAGCTAAGAATTACAAACTCTTATTTAGACTATTTTTTTTGGCTTAATAAAAATCTTGACTAATGTTTTAAATAGTGAGCTTTTTATTTATTTATATCTAAAAAATTAAAACAAACGGTATTAACTCATAAATATACAATTTAGTTAAGTGGTAAATATGATATCGTAAGGTTTTAAAGCAAAGTACAATAGTGAAGCAATTGTATTAAAACAATTATTCAATTTTAAAAAATAGATTGCTAAGACGGAGGTTGAGGTGGCAGTGTAGCTATCTTTATTACTGATGTATTTATCTCTTATGAAGATAAAAAACTTTTCTTAAACTCCTTCAAATAATCTCATAGCTTAATTAGGAAGCCTTATGATGGCTGCTTCATTGTCAGTAATTTTAATATATCATATTTCTTATGTCCAAACACCCTATGGTTGCTCAAACCATATGTTGGGTTTGTTATTTACCTCTAGCAGTAATTCTATTATATATATATATATATATATATATATATATATATATATATATATATATATATATATATATATATATATATATATATATAGTATATATATATATATATATATATATATATATATATATATATACGCTAGCTCTTTAGAGCTAGCATCTTTTGTGCCATCTACTAAAATTTATATATTGCTTATGTAATGTGTGTTATCTAAAATCAAGTAATCTTTAAAACAGCTGCAGCAATTCTCTGTAATTATACAGCGGAATTTCTGAATTCATTTCTTTTAATAAGTTGTAAGTTTGATTATTAGTTTTATTAACTTAAATGATTATTAATAAAATTTCATTAAAAATGCCATTGTTGTTGAAATTATTGTTTTTATAAAATAAATCATGCAAATTGTTTTAAAAGATTTACATTTAACATAAAAAATAGACGCTTTTTAAATTATAAAAAGTTAATCTATATTTGTAAAATTTACTTAACTTTATATAATTTTTAAAAAAATATTTTTAACTAAAAAATAATTTTTAAAAGTTTTATCTTTATAAACAGTCAATAAAAATAAAACATCTCTTTGTATATAAGCATTTTGCTAGAAACTGTTAATTACGAAAGATTAATGTTACCAAGCTTATTTTTTTGGACATACACAGAAACATATAAATTTGAATGTCAAAACGTCTAAAAAGATGTGGTCAAGTTGTCGCAGCTAAATGTTGTATGAGTGGTCAGGATCAAAGCGTAATTGCGCCTTCTGATTCCGACCAAGCCTGGCTCTTCAGTCGTGCTTTACCATGACTAAATAGCCCCTCCTGCTAATATGGAATCAGTTGAATGTCATCCAGGGTACATTAATTAATATATGTTTGAAATAGTAGTTGTTACTTACATTTAAACCATACTAGTAGTGTAGTTTTTGTCTTTTTATGGTCACATTTAAAATAGATTTAATTTATGCAGATTGCAGTTTATGAAATGGAGATTAGTTTACAAAGAGATTTTGGTTATGCAGCAAAAGTGCAATTATAAGTGCATTTTTCAAAAGTACTTTCACAAAATGACTCGAGCTGTAGTATATGTAACATTTTAGTAAAAAAAATTTATTCCATGGTATATCAACAACTTCCAAATTTTTTTCAATGATAGTTGTACTTATCAAGGCTTGGACTAAGTGATCATGAATTGTGATATCTGGAAATATTTTGGGTCTTCAAATTCTCAGTATATTAAAAGCCCTGAACAATGTTTTAATGAAACAGTCAATTCAATCATATTTCAAAAATTAACAAAAAAACGGAACAAATTTACTACAGCGAAATAAGAATAGTCAAAACTTTAAATTTAAAACTGTTTAAATACCAGTTAATTTAAGCATTTAGATAAAAATTAATAAAGCTGTCTGCACATTGTATGAAACATTAAAATCAATTTTTGTTTGGGGGGGAAACTTTGTGGAATTATTTATTTAAAAATTTAAATGATTTAAACTAGAAATTTATTAATAACAAACAAACAAACAAAAAAAGATTTTAAAATAAGTTATTAGATTTTTTTTGTTTTGTTGTAAAATAAATAATTCTTAGTAATTTATTTTTTATATGTTTTTAAACTGTCTTTAATTTTATATACATATCTGAGTTAGGGAGTTTCATTTAATTGGCAGTTACATATTTATAAGAAAATAATGAATAAGATTTAAATAAGAAATAAAATATGTTATATTGTATTATATAATTTCTTATATTTAAAGTATTTGATCACTGCTAAACTCCTTTAGACTGTTGTGATTTGCTGTTGTTTTTTAATATCGTACTGTATGCTTTATTTTTTTAGTTTTACCTGATGATTTATCAAATGAATTAAATTTTGAATCATAGTTTTTAATAATAATGAAAATAATTAAAAATAAACTAATAGTAATAATATGGTTTGAAAATGAGATTTTTATACCCTAATTTCAAGATCAGCATAAATATTATTTATTGAATTACAACTATTGAGTTTAATGATAAAAACATATTTGATCGTTTTTATAAAACTAATAATTTAAAAACCAGAAGCATTTCAAGATATTGCAATTTGTGATAACTTAGTTTGAGCCTTGCTTATATTGTTGTCATAAGCCTATTGTTAAAGTACAAAAAATAAAACAAAACTCCACTACAAAAACTGTACCTCAATTAGTAAAATGTTCCTCTAAAAAAGAAAGAGTTTGCTAATAGTTATCAGACCATTTTATTTACATTTCTACATCAACTCAATTTCACAATATATATGACATCTGTTTAAGAATGACTTAAAATGCAGCAGAACTTTAAAGAAGCTTTTGAAATCAAACTCTATACTGGTATTTAAGAAAATAACATTTTGGTATAGCAAATTATTGGCACTATTCATATTTGGATATTAGATTCACATTTGGATACTCGATTCACATTTGGATACTAGATTCACATTACTAGATATGAAATGTTGAAAATCGAAATGACAGATAATATACATCAAAAAATATTTTATAGCAAAAGTTGATTTATTATCTATTACTTGTTTACAAAAGTTATTAGCTATGAAATTACTTTAGAAAGAAGATGGTGATAAGCCAAAGTTATCAAAAAAAAAGCTTCGAAGAGCAAATAGAATGGAGATAGCTGAATTAAAACAAGTAGGCGTTATTAAGATCATTTTTTAATAGTTATTATTTTATGCACTACTATTTTTTCTGCTTAGCAAATCAAATGTAAACACATTCTTTTTTCTATTTTAGCTTGTTAATAGACCAGATGTAGTTGAAATGCATGATGTCAATTCAAAAGATCCTAAACTTCTCGTCTATCTAAAAGTAATATTCTTCATGATTGTTTTAAAGTTTTAAATGTTTTGTGCAAAAGTAAAGGTTTTGTTTTATTTGATTTGATTTGATAGGCATACAAAAATACAGTCCCTGTTCCACGTCATTGGTGTTTCAAAAGAAAGTATTTGCAGGTACAGTTTTTTCTTTTTTCTTTTTTATCTGATTTAAAAAGGTTTTAATTTTTCTTAATTTTTTCATTAGGGTAAAAGAGGATTTGTAAAGCCTCCATTTGAACTGCCAGATTTTATCAAAGTATGTTTCTATTTCTATCTTTTATATTTCAGTTTTATTTTATTTGTAGTTACGATGTAAATATTCATAATTTAGCATAAGAAATATCAATGATTTTTTTTGTGATCAGCAAACAGGAATTATGGAAATGCGTGCCGCCATGCAAGAGAAAGAGGACTCTAAAACTTTAAAAACAAAACAAAGAGGAAAGGTGAAATATATTTAAATATGTATATATTTTTTTATATATGTATCACTGGTACATTTTTGTATTCTTTTTTGCTCTTGTTCACTTCAATTAGTAAAATGCGAACTATCTATAATAATATACTTTTTCAAAAAAAGAATTTTGAGATAAAATTTTTTTTTTTTCAAAGACAAAAATTTTTTTTTGAAAAATTGTCTGGATTTATAGAGGCTTATGTGTGTTTGTGCAGGGATTATCTTTTTCAGGGTATTTCTGGAATTCCAGATATTTTTTTAAACTTTTACTTTTTTTTGAAATATTATTGACATTTAGATTTACATGGTGCTTTTCTTACAAAAGTAGAAGAACACTGGTCACCTTTATATATATATATATATCTATATCTATATATATATATCTATATCTATATATATATATCTATATCTATATATATATATATATATATATATATATATATATATATATATATATATATATATATATATATATATATATATATACATACATACATACATACATACATACATACATACATACATACATACATACATATATATATATATACATACATACATACATACATACATACATACATACATACATACATACATACATACATACATACATACATACATACATACATACATACATATATATATATATATATATATATATATATATATATATATATATATATATATATATATATATATATATATATATATATATATATATATATATTAGGTGCGCCATTTTTCAACAATTTTTTAATCTAAATCCAAACCACCTGAATTAGTTTACTGGTTGGATAAAAATAATTTTACATTAAAACCCATTGTTAAGGCCAACTTTTTAACCTAAAAGTGGGGACCTTATACATTGAAATAAAACACCAATTTTTTTTCTGTGAACTCTAATAGGCCTAAATATTAATTTGGAATTGGTTGGAAAATTAAGTTTTTAAAAAGTGAATTGACTTGATCCTGGAAAAATGGGTGAAACTTTCTAATTTTAGGTAATTTTATGGATATATCAATTGACGATTTTTTTTATCTCTCAAACTTTCCTTAAAATTTTTTTTTCAAATTCTTGTTTACAAAGGTTATTTTAATTCAAAATTCAATTTATAGTTAAATGGTCTTTGAGTATTGTGAAGGCTTGGGGAGAAGCAGTTGATTCGGGGCTTTCTCATAAGAACTAGTAATGTTGTCGAGTTAAATTTTTTCATAGTTTTCTGTTGTGAGTTGGTAATTGTTATTTGTTTTATCAGCAAAAACCAACATATTACGGTTTGATTTAATTTTTTTAACATCTAATTTTAATTCTATTTGAAATTTGTTTATTATAGGGCAAAACTTTATTGTTTTAATTAAATGCAATAGGTCATTTTCAAAATTTTCCAAATCATGTATAAAAGTCAATTTGGTTTAATAAGCCAAGTTATATTTCCATAAACCTAAGTATATACTTAAATTTCATCACTATTTAATAAAAATTCTCTTATGACTAAAATTCTCTTGTTCAAATAGATTTCTTTTAAAATAAATTCCTCAAAACAACTTTGAAAAAAATTGTCATGATAATTTTGCATGGAACAATAAAAATACTTTAAAAGTAGAGGTCAATAATTTTAACAGAAAAGTGAAAGAGGCATTTGAAATACGACATGAATGTGCACCTTCAGACAGGTTAAGGGTTACAGAGGATTGACGGAGGTTATGTCATGACATCCTTTTGGAAATCTAAAACATAGATTTCCAAAAAGATTTCTTTTAGATTGGAAATCTAAAACATAAATACTTGAATAAAAAAAACTATAGCATTGATTTGTTTTTGTTTTTGTTTTGCTTTTAATGGTTTTTTATATATATTATACTTGACAACAAGGTTATTAATACTTGCCTGAAATATTATATTAATTTAAAAATAAAGAGTTACATCCATAGTAAAAGTTTTTACATCCATAGTAGAAGTTTTTACATCCATAGTAGAAGTTTTTACATCCATAGTAGAAGTTTTTACATCCATAGTAGAAGTTTTTACATCCATAGTTGAAGTTTTTACATCCATAGTAGAAGTTTTTACATCCATAGTAGAAGTTTTTACATCCATAGTAAAAGTTTTTACATCCATAGTAGAAGTTTTTACATCCATAGTAGAAGTTTTTACATCCATAGTAGAAGTTTTTACATCCATAGTAGAAGTTTTTACATCCATAGTAAAAGTTTTTACATCCATAGTAGAAGTTTTTACATCCATAGTAGAAGTTTTTACATCCATAGTAGAAGTTTTTACATCCATAGTAGAAGTTTTTACATCCATAGTAGAAGTTTTTTCAACCATAGTAGAAGTTTTTATTTAATCAAAACAACTAAATTTTTTGTGACACTTTATGGATGATCCTTAATAAAAACATTTAGACAAAACAAACAGACAAAAACATTCTATTTGTAAAATTTTTATATTTTAACAAACAATTATTTGGGATATGCTTATTTTAAGCCTTGTACATTAGGGTGTAGGGTGTACATTAGGGTGCATTGAGAAACAGAATTTTTTTATCATTGTTTTGTAATAGCTCTAAATATATGCGATATAATAAAATATCACCAGATAAACAAAAAATTTTGAAAAGAAAAATATTTTTAGAGGTGCCCCAAGTCCCTTGAACATTTATAGGGCCCATAATATTTTGGGAAAAAAAAATTATTCAAAAGTAAAAACAATTATTCAAACCTGGTACTCAAAAGAAGTGAAATTTTATAAAAAGTTTAAAAATAATAATTGTTTTGTTAAAAAATTTATCAAAAAATATATATATATTAAAATACTTGTAAAAATGCACTTTTTTTATTTTTAGTTAAAAAAGTTATTATGCAATAAAATTCAAAATAATTTTTACATGAAACAAATATTTTGAACTTTTTAAAAAATTTAGCTTCTTTTGACTACCAGGGTTGACCTACTTTTGTAGAACTTTTTTTTGCAAAAATATTAGGGATTCTGTAAATGTACAATTAAAATTAAAACCTCAATTAAAACTAAAACCTCTGAAAATATTTTTTATTTCAAAATTTTTTTTAATCAAGTGATAATTTATTAGAGCTATTACAAGACAGTTTTGAAAAATTTCTGTTTTTCAATGCACTCTACTAAATATAAGTGCATGAGCAGTTGAAAGTCTGTATAAAAAAGTTGTCAGGCAAATAATTTAAATAGAGCATTTGTTTTCAAAATGTTTAATTGACTCGTTCATCAATTAAACAATTAACGATTGAGTTGATGATTAAGTACTTTTAAAATTCTTTTTATGTTATCACAGTTTCGTCTAAACAAACAAATTTTCAGAACTGTATATAATTACAAATTTTATTCAAATTATTAAAAGTGTATTTCTATTTTTATGTTTTGAGTGAGTTCTATGTAAGTAAACAAAAGAATGCAACTCTTAAATTGCATATATAAAAGTGAATTATATTGTTTTGAAAATAATTTTGAACAAAAGCGTTTACATAAACAAAAATAACTTATATTTTATTTTTAAAATGTTTTAAATTGAAAATATAAAACTGAAAATTTAGCAAGAGTTACTAAAAACTTATTTCCTCTATAAATCATTATTTTTTAAAATATTTTTTACATGGTTAAGGAGAAACTCAGTTGTGAACAAAAATTTAATTTTCAATAAATTCCATATCTTGCTTATTTGAACTTATCAAATAAAAAAATAAAGACAATTTATTTTTAAAAAAAATCTTTTTTCTAACTTTTTATCTTATTAAATTTTTTTTTTAAATCTTTTCAAAGTTGTTTCATAATTGTTAAGTATTACTTTGTACATTTTATTTTTTTAATACACCAAATAGTGTTTTTATTTTTTTTCTAAATAAAGTTTGACTCCTTGAACCTGAAAACAACATAATTTTTTAAAGAAATATCATCAAAGCCTTTATCTATTTGTTAGTTTGAAATGAAAATTATTTTTTTTTTAAAAAAAAAATTCTCAAATTTTTTTCTCAAAAGTTAAATATTCGAAGGTCAGTTTGGACTCCTGAAAATATTTTTAAATTCAGTGTTACTTTAACAAACCTTAACAAGAACAAGGTTTAACAGGATAAATTTTCAAAAAAAGTAGTTTTTACTCCACCCGAATGTATGCGCATATATATATATATTTTTTACTATCGTTGCTTCCAACAAGGCTGCAAGCAACCACTATTAGTGTTGGAAGTTACTGGTAAAGAAAAGATGAAGATTGTTGAGCAAGATAACGATTGACATACGACTTAAAAGATTGCAAATTATATGAATCAGGAAAGCAAGATGAAGGAAGCGAATTCTAAAGAACTGATGTTCGAGGAAAAAAACTAGACGAATAAGAATTTTTGGAGCACTTAGGAACAGTAACAGAAAAAGGATGAGACTTAATTGAATGACGAGTAACACGAGAATGAATTTTAGTAGATGGCACAAGAGACGCTAGCTCTTTAGAGCAGTGCCCATTATAGTATTTGTAGAAAAGAAAAAGAGAAGCAACATTATGGCGATGTGATAATGGTTAGAGGTTTGCTCCGAGATCAGGTCCAACTGTATTTACTATTCGTTTTTGCACCTTGTCTAAAAGAGAAAGGACATCATTAGAAGATCCGCCCCAGTATTCCATACAAGGTCGGATTTGAGATTTATAGAGATAGAGAAATGAACCGGAGTATGAAAGTGTCAAGCTCGATAAAGAGATGCAACCTTAGCAGTAGTGATTTCGCCGGTTATCCGGTTTTGCGGTTAACCGGATTTTGTTCGAATATCAAATATCTATTTTCGAATAATAAAAACCGACTTAAAAATTTTACAAAATTTTATAGAAAGTAACATCGTAATTATGACGATTATTGTTTGACAAATGTTAATTTGTCAAAGATTATAATATATTTCTTTTATTAATTTAAATGTTAATTTAATCATTTTTGTTTGATAATATGTTCTTAACAATTTACACTAAAAATCTTAAAGATTTATTTATTACTTTTACAACTCAAGCAATACATTTTTAAGAAAATTTCTTTAGAATATTCTGGAACTCTAATTCGCTTATTCAGTATATTTTTTGAACCAATAGATTTTGTTTATTCATAGATTTGGCGGTATTTTAGTGTTAGCAAATATTCTTTATATTATCTTTACGCAACAAGTTGTTTTGAGAACATTCAAGTTTATCTAAATTTTAAAAGACATCATTAAAGAGTTTGAAATATAATTAAATTAAAACTTCTATTAAGGATATATATATATTTATATACTTGACAACGAGGGTATCAATAATCCCTTGAAATATTGTATAAGAATTAATAAAGAGTTACATCCATAATAGAAGTTTTAATTTAATCAAGTTTATCTATGTTTCCATCTATGTCCGCATAACAATAAACGCTAAAAAAATTTACTTCATAACATCTCATTTTTCCAAATCAAATGTTTTTATATGAAAGAATGATTTTAAAATATCCGCTGATATTAAAACATTTAAACTATACTGGTACATTGTTCCTACCTTTTTTAATTAAATAATTAAAAAGGTATATTTTATTATAATATAAAAAAACTATATATCTTTTTCCATGTTTTGTTATATATATATATTTTTTTGGACTGTATTCACTAACTGTCTTGAAAATGTACACTTTAACATTAATTTTTAAAAAATTAGTTTAAAACGCTACGTTCATTGAAATTTAGAAGATCCTATATTCAGAAAACGTCACTAATTAACCGAATAGTCTGTTAACCGCAAATTGATGAGAACTGTTATCCAGTTTTTGAAACGGATAACCGGCAAAATCACTACTTAGTAGATGCTAATTTTGCAAAGGATTTGATATATGGTTTTCAAGAAAAATTGGAAGTAAGAGTTAATTCTAGAAGGTGAAGGGTAGATGACTCATCAAGTACATTACTGTTTATAAATATAGGAAGATCTAAATTGCAATAACGATTAGCTGAAAAAAATTAAGTTTTATCTGAACTAAAGTTCACCAGCCACTGTGAGCCCCATATTGTAGCAGAAGATCCTTTTCAAGCTCAAATGCCCCCTCCATACACACACACACACACACACAGATATATATATATATATATATATATATATATATATATATATATATATATATATATATATGTATATGTATTATTAATAATAATACATATATGTGTGTGTGCAAAATATCCGAATTTTAGAAATCATGGTAAATCCATTAAGCATTTGATTTAATTTTAATCTCTTATATTTTTGTATAGGTTCGACCTAAACTTGGTAAAATTGATATTGATTATCAGAAGCTTCATGATGCATTTTTCAAGTAAGTATATTTAAGCAATTAATAATTTAGAATTTTTTTTAATTTTTTATAAATATATTGTTATTACTATTTATGGTGGCAACAGTCTTAGGATTTTAAAATTTTCCTGGAATTTTCTGAAAAATTACATTTTTTTCAAAAATGTCCTGAAATGAGTATTGTTATTTTTTAAATAATAGTTTAGAAATTACTATTGAAGTTGAATTAGTTTTTATTTTTTAAAATATAATAGTTTAAATTTAATTTTTAATAAAAAGAAAGTATTTTATGTGATTTATTATTTATTTAAAAGGTTTTTTATTTTTATTATATTGTTTTATTTACTTTAAATTTTGATTTGTTTTCATTTTGATTTATTATATTTGGAATTGCTGAAGTCTTGCATATAAAATGATAATTTAGTATCAGTTTTCAAAAGTTTTGATTTTTTTAACGAAACACAAATTTGCATCAAACAGTTGCATTATATTCTTTTTTTTTTAAATGTCATTAGTTTAGGTGAAAATGTTTTAAAAAGTCATTTCAAAAGAAAAGAAAAAACAAAATCATCACCACTAGTAATAAGTTTATTTTTCAAATTATTTGCAAAATCAATATTTTATCACCTTTAAAAGCAAGTTTAGTTCAGATTATTGAAAAGCCATCTACTTCTAAGATGTTGTATGTAGTTTTTATAAATGAAAAAGTTATAACTGCTGAAATTAAATGGGTGTTACATGTATTAAAAACTTTTCAATGATCTTGCAAAGGACTAAACTCACTATTTGTATCAATGTTTTCTGAATCTAATATTGCAAAAAAATTTCAGTTAGGTCAAACAAAGTATGGTTATATTACAAAATTTGTTATTGCACCATACTTTCTTGATTTGTTGTATAAAGAAATTGTTATCACCTGTTTTTATAATATCTTTTGATGAGTCATTAAGTCAGACCATGTAAACAGTTCAAGTGATTATTATTTGGAGGATTCTGGAACAATGAATGAAATCAGAGCTTTACAAGATATTTAGACTCTCAGTTTTTAAAAGCAAATTCAGAGCAATGATTAAAATCTTATTATCAAGGTATATCTAGACTTGATAAAAAAATTTTGATTAAGAAAATAATTTTATTCATAGATAAATTTTTTCCGGAAATTCCCGGAATTCCGGAAATTCACTTAAAACACCTTTAATTTTTCCAAAAATTTCTGGATGTTTTTTGATATTAATTTGAAAAAAATTAATATATTTTTACATAAAATTTTACATACGACAACTTTTGCATTTAAACAAATATGTTTTCTATAATTAAGATTTTTACAAGATCAATTTTCGTAACAATTTTTTTTTCTTTTTTTTTTTTTTCTTGCTTTTTAATTCATTCAAACTTTTTCGAATATTAGAAATGCTTTTTTGTAAAAATTTAAATAATCTAAATTCCGTTTGTCAGATAAATGCGATCAATTTTTAATAATATAGTTTTCCGGGATTATCATAGAAAAAAAATTTCCAGGACTTTTATTCAAAAGTCAAATACTCATCTATGTTTATTAGTTCTAAAAATGATTCAGATATCTTCAAATGATTCAGATATCTTCAGATATCTTCTAATGTTAGTTAAAAATTTTTAAGAAAAATAAAAAATTGCGAACTTAATAAGTATTAACCAGCATTAATAGATATTGGCATGTGTGGCCTCCTCACAGTTCATTGAAACCTAAAAACATCAATGAATCAATCTGAATGGAAGGATGTGTAAAAATTAAAAACAATGCGGAAATTTCTAAAATCTATAAAATTATATCTAAAATAAAGTTATACCCTTTACTTTATTGAGGCCATTGTTGGTGTGAGAATCAAAGTTGTTTTGAACAAACAGCAAATATTTATTCGGAGCTTCCTTCTATACTTTCAAAAATATTTAACAAGTACTTATAGGAGTCTTGTTTTACAGCCTGCTGGATGCGGCATCTGTTATCCCTACTTCAAAAATTTTGGAGAGCATTCTGACTCGTCTGATTACTGTTTTATTAGTCTTCTTTCTATCATAAGCAAGTTTTTTGAGTCTTCAATTAACAAACATTTAATCTCTTATCTTGAATCTAATAACTTACTTTCTGATCATTAATATGGATTTTGATCTTCTCGTTCTACGGCTTATTTGCTGACAGTAATAACCAATAGGTTTTATCATGGATTAGATAGAGGTTTAGAGGTTAAAGCTATCGCTCTTGATACTTTTAAAGCTTTTGATAAAGTTTGGCATGCTAGTTTTCTTACAGTGTATCAGGTAAAATCTTTAAGATTATTGAATCCTATCTCACCAATCGTAGTATAAAAGTTTTTCTCTATGGACAGCACTCTTCTTTATATTCTGTAACTTCAGGGGTTCCTCAAGGTTCAATCCTTGGCCCTATCTTCTTTTTATTTACATTAACAATCTTCCAGATATTCTCACACTTAAGGTGGCATTGTTCGCTGATGATACTACCATTTATTCTTTTCATGATACCAACACTCTCTGATTGCTTGGATGGGGCATTTGATCTTGAAAAGGATCTCACTTCTGCTACAGTATGGGGCTCACAGTGGCTGGTGAACTTTAATTCAGATAAAACTCAATTTTTTTCAGCCGATCGTAATCGCAATATTTTAGATCTCTCCATATTTATGAGTGGTAATGTACTCAATAAGTCATCTAGCCTTCATCTTCTAAGATTAAATCTTACTTCTGATTTTTCTTAGAAACCATATATCAAATCTGTTGCAAAATTAGCATCTGCTAAGGTTGCATCTCTTTATCGAGCTCAACACTTTCTTACTTCATATTCTGTTCTCTATCTCTATAAATGGATGATTCCATGTGAAAACATCCAGGGCATGCAACCCTAAGAAAAAATTCCCACTCATTTGTTTGTTAAGGCTACCTTATCTGCTTCTTTCCTCATCTCCCATTTATTACACTTGGATAAAAATTCCCATCCATCCTTTTATTTTTATTCCACATTGTGTTAAGCAATTGGGAGTACCTTGACAGTAATAAAACTGAAAAAGCTTGGACCATATTAAATTGATCCTTTACTTGTTGCTGACTTGCTAAATTGTTAAGGTTTTAATGTGGGTGAGTTGAATTTAAAAATGCAGATGTATAGATTTTTTTTTTTTAAGTTGAAATTTTTTTTATTTTTAATTGTCTTGAATAATTTAGTTAGAATTATATGAATTGGGTTGTGGTCTTTTCTAAAGCAGAAATAAAAAATGTCAAATATATATCATGAGTAGATAATTTTAATGAAGAAATTTTAATGAAGAAATTTTAATGAAGAAATTTTAATGAAGAAATTTTAATGAAGAAATTTTAATGAAGAAATTTTAATGAAGAAATTTTAATGAAGAAATTTTAATGAAGAAATTTTAATGAAGAAATTTTAATGAAGAAATTTTAATGAAGAAATTTTAATGAAGAAATTTTAATGAAGAAATTTTAATGAAGAAATTTTAATGAAGAAATTTTAATGAAGAAATTTTAATGAAGAAATTTTAATGAAGAAATTTTAATGAAGAAATTTTAATGAAGAAATTTTAATGAAGAAATTCAGATTTATAATCTGATTTTTTTATTTAATTTTAAAATGAATTTTATTAAATTTTTATTATTTAACTAAACGAAGGTTAATAAATTAATAGTTATGAATAATAAACAGTTGCTTTTTTATTGACCAGTGGCCAACATTTGGGCGAGACAATTATTGGTAAAAAAAAAAACAATATTTAATAAAGTTGTTACCATTAATCTCTGTAATTCATTATTTTATCACTTTCTAAACTATATGTGCCACAATGTGTTTTATATGATGGGGCATTTATTATTTTATTTAATTTGGAATTTAATAGTTCATAATATTGAGCCTAAAACCTAATTCATAGTCAGAATGTAATAATCATTAGAATATCAATATAAACAGATATAAACAATCTAGCTTTTTTTTTTTACCTAAAACTATTTTAAAGAAAATAGTTCTCACAGCAATAAGCAAGGGGCTTCCAGTTAGGCAATTCCATGCAATAGTGGTAAGTGTTATTGGTAATTTAGGAGATGATGATTCTAATAGTGTGCTATCTTTTTCAATTGTTTTTAAAGTTGTAGAGAAAGTTGTAAAACATACTGGTCAAATAATCAAACAAAATTCAGCCTTTTAAACTTGTTAAACTCTTACAATCAATATACAAATCAAGTTTTTGTTCAAATTTAATAAATGAGGGGAGATAGGAAGGAGGAGGAGGGAGGAATTGGGTATTAATAAACAGAAGGGTAGGAGTTTTTATTTTTAAATCTTTAAGTTAGTTTATATTTTCTAATTTTTATGACCTAAATGGACTCAGATATTAGAAAATTATTAATAAAAATTATTTTTTATAGTTAAATATAGTTTTGAGACAGTTTCTTTGTTCACAACAAGTAAAATCAGGGATGTGGATTCTCAAAAGGACTCCAGCTTTTCCTGGTCTCTGGTGTCCAAAAGCACTTAATATGCTTTATTTAATAGCTCGGAAGTTTTTGTTTTTAAGCCTGGAGTCCTTGATAACATTATACCTAAAGACTGCTGTTCAAAAATTAAAAAATTTTTTCCATTAGTTGTCCGTAAGCTTTTTTATATTTTTAGAGCTCCTGGATACTAAAAACTAGGAAGAAATCTTTTTGTAACTTTTGAACCTGATTCTTTTTTATGACTCCGCATCCCTAAATAAAATTCAATAAAATAAGGGAGTGGGTCTTAATAAGCTCAGGGTGGGTGGAAAAGTTTTTCTAAAAGTATTAAACATCAACTGCTGTTTATTATGCACTTAAGAATACCTTTTTTTTCCTTTCAATTTAACAAATTGAAAGGAAAAAAATTAACTTTCAAAGTAACAAGTTTAAGTAAATTTGACCATTTTGTTTTCTGTTTAAAAAAAGACCACTCTCCAATTCTTTGTAATACCACTACTTAAACTATTCAGAACGACATCTAAAAAA